AAAAAACTGTCCAAGTATCAGAATGTAATGAAGAAAAAGAAAGCGAGAGGAAGCCTTTAATAAACCAGAACTTTAAAATTACTCAGTTTTTCCAAAACCCAAAAGAATACCCAAGCTGACACTACTAGCACTAGCTGTCCATCAACATCTCAGCTACCACTGAAATTACCAAAAGAACCTAATAATCAGAAAGAATTAGAAAGTGTTTTCACGTGGAAATAACCTTCAACTTCAATGCAGCCGGTGAGAAAAAAACAGAAGAAATACTATTGAAATCTACAATTTCTGTATTACATACGCATTTGCCTGTGCCTAATGATTCCGGATTATGCTCAAGTCCATTATTGGCATCCCGAGTTCAAGCCATAATAGAAAATGGTCCTGGATATTACCAAACTTGGTTTCGAGTTTCAGTTTCCCAAAAGACAAAAATGGACGTAAATTTCTTTAGATGTACTTTTGTCGAATCTTGCCAAACAACGAAGGAGTTAACCCGATTTCTTAGAAGGATTATGAAAGAATAAACCTGTTATTTCGGAATTTCGCATTTTATTAAAAAAAAATAGACTAAGCATTGACGCCATGTTGTTGAAAGAATTATCTACGCCCTTCAGTTTTCAATCAAACAAAACTTAGCCTTCCGTGGTTCCAGTAACAAATTATTCGAAAGAAATAATTTTTCAAAGTGTATAGAAATGATCACAAAGTTTGACCCTATCACATCTTTATGTATTAACAAAATTCAAACTAAAAAAAATATGCATCATTACCTAGAAAGTAAAATTAAAAAAAAAAAAAAATCTGAAATGTTTCAGATTTTAAATTACGTCCAAAGGGGCGTTTTTTAACATTTTGTGTGTTACCTTTCTTAATTAAATATCATGTTTCTCGCACTTAAACCATAAGATCCAGTGCAACAGCAATATCGCAAAATAGTTTTAAAACAAGCATATCTTTAGAATTTCCGATACAGAGACTCACGCGCTGGAGATAAAATGTTTTTTTCTGCACAACGTTGCCATTGCTCGCTTTGAAATCCTTGAGTTTGTTAATCAAAAATCGTCGTCAAAGTTTAAAAAAATAGGAATGGAAATTGATCATAAAACAAATTTCAAATTTCAAATTTGGTCTTCCACATGCTCATATCGTTGGAGGATTACGTTATTCAAAATTCGATGACTCTATGTACCGTTGTTTTATCACAATACGAGAAATATACATACATTTATGCAGATTTTTCATTATTTAATTTCTTCAAATATAATGCAGGACTCTAACATTTTGTGGCAACAGTTTGAAAAGTGAACCGACATTTATGAGTCCGACGCAAAATGCCAAAATGAAACTAATAGTCCTTCGGGATTCAAATCGCTTTGGACTAATAAAACAATTAGCTTATTAGGGGATAATATAAAGCAAATTATTTTAAATAAAGTCAAACAGGTAAAGCATTTTTCTATTTTACTTGATTGTACCCCTGATGCTAGTCATCAAGAGCAGATATCAACTTGTATGAGGTATCTTAATTTAGAAAATACGGACATGAGTATTGAAGAAAGGTTTTTAGTAGTATTTTCTGTTACAACAGGTATGAAAAACATTCTTATTAAAGACTTTAGAGGAAAATGGTTAGATATTAATAATTTATGCCGCCAAGAACACGACAATGGTTCAAACATGAGAGGTAAACAGTTTTCGAGTAATTATGCTCAAATCATTGCTTTTCCGAATTAAAATTTAACCTAATCCTAATTTTAACATAATATGTAACTACACTTTACCCTTTTTGTGTAGAAAAACAATAACAACAAGCAATAGATAATTGTTGCACATATTACTACCATTGCAACAGCAGACACGAAATAAGGATTAAGCTATTTATCGAATGCATCTACCCTTACATACGCATCGGCATCAAGTATTTTCACATTCAAACAAGACAGAAGAGAGCACCAGAGACGAACTCCTGCCCTGGTTACAACTTTTCATCAAATAAGACAGTGTGCTAGGAGGAAGGGGCACTCAGGTCTGGCAAGCTCCAGGCTGCCTTAACACAGACTGCCTAGATGCGCCAAATCCCAGAGGCGATCCAAGAAGCCGCTAACCTATCAGTCGAGCCGGCGAGCTAAGCTGAGTCTTTGACTTAGCTCATCGAATCGACCAATACTCAGCAACTCACATTCCACATCTCCGTTCTAGAGGAATGGTAAAAATATCTGCAATCAAAGGGACCACAACCCCGGACAGCAGAAAGAAGTCACTTAAACACTGTCAAACAGACCAGCTATCAATCCGGCCTGCTAACACTATGTAATGGTATACAGATGTCAGCTTTAGGCACCAAGGAAAGATATGAATATGCAGTTTTTAAGCTCCAGGCGCCCACTGGAAACCCCAACCAGTTTAAAGGCTCGCTGAATTTACCAACTCCATTGATGGGGGTGCTTCCCCCCAGACAACCATGAATATCTGACAATATAGCTTCACCACAACCAATGGACAAGACAGTACATACGGTCCCTGCCAAGCCTGAAACAGCCATCACCAGCGATGACTTCAGTTCCTGTGGAGACTGAATTTAAACACCCGTATCTGAGACTGCCTAAGTATAGTAGTAGTTTCCCAGGTTTTACCAGAGTCGACTCCCGGAAAGGCGTTCAAATAAGACAAGAGTCTTGTTCAGACAGGCAGTGAGACGAACTGTTTGTTTTAATGACTGCCTGGTGCCTTTTTGACTCAGTGCCATCATGCGAAGCATAACTTTACAACTATTGTCGGTGTGGGCCTGCACATCTGAAGGGCGAAGCTAACATGAAGATATCTCAATACTCTGAACTCGCACTGAACTAAATAACTACTCAGAAATTGATGCTCTCCTTGGTTTTATATAGTTTTACCCTGGCCGAAGACAAATTGCTAATATCTTCCACTTCTCAAAATTAATGGAAGGCATGAGGGCTGGTATGGTCACAGTTAAATATATAGATTAATTACACCTATTCAATCACAATACCTTATGGGTCAGTTTCTTGGTCACTCCTATTCTGTTTCAAGGCATTCACCTGCCTTGTTAAATCATCTAGATGAGCAGTCACTTGATCCACTGGTTTCTGGAGTTCAGCAGCTCTGATTGGGTGGTGATCTCTATGAACTGTATGCTGGGATACCTCGAATTTCATAGCATACACTGAAGTGCATTTTAAATCCTTGATATCCGCCATTTACACTTCAGGAATCCTGGATGATATCGATGAAGTACTGCAGGAAAAAGATTTCCCTTGTTTCTGATGCTCAGTCTGAAAGGTCCAATGGAAAAAACATGATCATTGGCTCGTCAGCCCCCTAAATCGAGAGGCTTTGACGACAGACACAGTGGAGAATGCTAAAATCTCTTGACACTAGTCCTGAAGTTATATCTCTTGCACTGTCAACTGGAATGAATTAATGCATCTGATATGTCAGATCATGTCATCTGGCATATCATAAAAGCTTGAAAGCAGTGACTTCTGGGGACCACACACGATTTTCTCATCTTTGTGTGGTCCACTGCAGCAGTAATTTCTCCTTTCATTTTCTTTGACCTACTTTCATCTCTTCTTTAAAGGAGGTGATGGCCCCTACTATCTTTTTCTGGAATGCAGCAAAATCACTACCAACCATCTTAGGATCTTATCCATTGCTCTTGCCACCAGCAAGCTATCACACTTCTGATAGCAAAAGTTGTTGCATGTGCATGGGTTCATAATAGATCGAGTGCACACAAAACCGATGAAGTTATTTTAACAACAAAAAAAACTTCGGAGTTACTGGAAGTTTCCACAAAAATACTTGTACAGCTCTTCACAGTGTCACTGAGTACAATCAGTAACTACACTTCAAACTATTAAGAACATTAAACATGATGCAATGCAAAGTGCACCTAAAGAGCAAAGCTAACATATACTCTAAATTCACATTGAACTAAACAACTAACAACGGATAAACTGATGCTCTCTCCAGTCTTATATAGTTTTCCTCCAGCTACCATGAAATCTCTAGTACCTTACACTTTCTCAAAATTACAGGAAGGCATATGAGGGTTAAATTAGACTTACATATGCAGATTAATTACAATTATTCAAGAATAATACCAATTACAGTTATACGTGAACTGGACGATAATGTCGTCAAGCTCGGCGACTTTTGGTGATTTTTCATTACATTTGGTGACAAAAATAAGTTACTACAACTGTCACCAGCTTGGCGATATTTTACCTAGTGCGATAGCCATTTACTCAATGTTAAAGAGATCTGCCTACTGTAACAATTTTAAAGATAACTTCACTAAATACAAAATTTTATAACAATACTTAACTCGACTATGATGAATATCACCCAATTATAAATAAATCTGCCAAAAAGTTAAAATAAAAACAGATGAAAGATTGCTCGGGGGGAGGGGGGGAAACTGCAGTAAATGATTTTTCATGCCATTTCCTTAAAGATATCTTTCATAAATAAAATTTATTACAAAATAATTTAAACACATTGAAGAAGATTAAAAACAATTTAAAAAGTCTGATATCGGTTGCTTTCAAACTGAGAATTTCTGATTAACAGTTTTGCATGCCAATTAAGATATCATCTGCACTTGCAGCGAAAGAAGGAATTTAAATATGAATGTTACTTATAACTCTAAAGTCTCAGTTTTCTTGCTTAATTTGAAGAGATATAAGCACTTGCACATATATTCACTTTGTGTGATGAGTCTGGGCGAAATCAGCAAGACCAAGGCCGTATATTCTCCTTGCTAAAGCAGAGCATACTTTCATTAAAGAAAATTTTTTCATCTATGAATTCATGGTACTTTCACTAACAGACCTTTATAAATAGCTGTCATGTTTATCTCTCTAGCTACTTTTGACCCAATTTTTTGATAAAAATAACTACCAGATTTTTTAGAATAGGGTGTCCAATTGTAAATGGAATAATTCATATATTATTACTAAAAATAAACTTACCTCAAATTCTTCTGCAACTTTTGGACCGACTAGAAATATCCGAGTATTAAGGCAATCCACAGGTCCATACGTATTCCGAAAAACAAGAAAATCATCACAGACTTTAGGATACATTGCTGCACTCATAACATCAAATTCATCAAGAGTTATCCCATGCTTATCTTCTAATTCAGCTTTAAGGGCACTGAAATCCAATGGAGGTAAACTCTCACCAGGTCTCCCTTCAATTTTAGACATATTTTTAAGAATCTAATGGGGGAAAAATTCCTTATTGAAAACTGGGATTTTAATGATAAAAAAAATTGAGTAAAAGGAACACACATTTATATATAAAACACAATAATAAATCACTTCAAGTTCACCGAGTATGCATTATATGCCAGATATAAAATTGATACATTTAAAAACAAGGAAAAGATGAGTATACAAAAATAAGATTTCTACATGTACCTAAATGCTGTTTATTTAAAAGAAATGACATACCTTATGAGTTTTTCATTAGTGGATAACATAAAAAGTTCGTCATATTCATCTTCCATTCTATCTTCAGGCACATCATCGAATTCTGTTTCACCTTCTCCATCATTGTTACAATGATATGTAAATAAATAATTACCTTCCATTCCATCTAGATAGTTAGATATACTGTGTTTTTTAAAATGACTTTTGTATTGTGTCGGGTTTAATTCCATTTCCTTCCATGCATTTATTATCCACTCATACACTATTTCTGACTTGATACATTTGGCCTCTTTTTGTTAATGTTTTTTCACCTTTTTAATATCAACATATTTCACTGTCATTTAAAAATTTCTTTGAATGGTTTACTGAGACACAAATCTAAAGACTGAACTAATTACACTAACCCACCAGGAATAACTGCCATGTCTGTATTACACTCTTCAAGCAATTTCTTCATATTATCCATTAGATGGGATCTGAACATAAGAAAATAAATCTTAGATTTTTGAATGCCCCTCTCCTAGCATCTGCAATGTATCGAAATCTCTCTCAACTGCGGCATTTCCGAATTAATCCATACATATGACTTAATAATGCTGAAGACGTAACTAATTCGGAAATTAAGCCAAAACTTGCTCTCAATGAGCTTTCGTATTGGATAACTGCACACTTCTTCTTCTAACTTTTTTGCTGTTAAGACGGTCTGCTACTTTTTTTACTGTTGCAATAGTATAAAAAATGTTACTGTTCTTGGATAGGCATGATTGGAGTGCCAAGTAAATTGTGGCCACAAATGTCATACAGATTCAACATTCTATGCCATCAATATTACTAAGTCTTTTTCATTACGTATATACATACATACACAGACATATATGTATATATATATAGAGAGAGAGAGAGAGAGAGACTTTAGATGCTTTAAGTCTATTTTACTTTAATCCTGCAGCTACAGCGCAGAAAGGGTATAAAAACTTACTTTTAATTTTTAGCCTCTTATGTTTCTTTATGTATTTATATGTGTGTGTGTGATGAAAAAGACTTAATAAATAACATTTTTTTATACACGTGCACACACCTAAAAAATGTCATTTATTTTTTTTATGTTCTTCAAATAAATTATATTTATTATTGTATTATCTTTCTTCATATTAGAAACCAGGATACAAAATATTAGATCACAAGTTTCCATCATTTTATGTAATTATTTTATTTGTATATGTGTATTTTTTTTTTTTTTTTTTTCATTTAACTTAAAATACTCAGTTTGGGTGTCATTTCATGCATAATTTACCTACTTAGTGCAACCTTCAACAACTATTAAATTCTCTTTTTCTGCAGCTTATAATTTGTTTTAACTTTTAAGGCTCATTATTTTGCCTTTTGATTTTTGGATTAGAGTTAGCAGTGCTATCATTTTATAATGAACATTTTCATGTTATTTTTAGAGTTCAACTTTAAGTATCACATAATTTGGAAAAAGTTCAATCCCTCTCCCTCCTCTAACTGTCATATATAACCTATTTGAAATATCGAAGATGTTAGGCTTACACTAAGATTCTGCTATAAAAGACAATTTAAAATTATGCAAAAGCCAATTTTAGATAAGTAGCAGTTTTGAAAATAACGCCAAGTGACCCAAGCCAGTCTTTCTCAAAATGTACATAATTTTTCTAAAAAACCAATATTAATCTGAGCCCATTCAAGCCTAATGTTATATTCTTGCAGTATTTCCTCTTCACCCATTAATTTTAATAATAAAACCAATTTATATTCATATCAAGAATTTAAAAATATTTTGATTTTACTTATTATGTAAAATTTTTCCAAACTTAAAATATACAAAAAATCTGTTGTAAATACAATTTTAACCTGAATTCCTCTCTTCAAAATAGCATTTGTATTTTCATTTCTCTTTCAGCACAATTTCACATGTAGTAAATGGGAAAAAATTAATTCAAAGAAGTTCACATTTTTACATCTCATTATTCTCATTTTTACAAAAGAAAATGAAAAAAATGAATTCAAATAGCACATTATATTATAAATTAACAACATGATACTTGCAAAAAAATGACAAAAGGAATAAGCATTAAATGTTATCTATGAAAGTTACCTACCTTGGATCTAAGAGGCTCTGCAAAACCGCCATAAGGCACACCAAGGTACCCTTGCATAAATTCAATAACAGAACTTGGAAAACTCAGGTCTTCAGCTCTCTCTTGAATTTCTTTTGCACTTAACTTGTTTTGAACCATGAATTGAGCAAGATCCCCCACAACCTTGGAGGTTGGTGTAACCTATAAGAGAAAGCAATTGTCCTATTCAATAATATTCTTAAAAAATAATTAAAATAGGTGAATTAAAAAAACAGAGTAATTACTTAATAATTATCTGTATGAGAGATCATTTATTAAATAATGCATATTTTACAGTTAAATATTCTTAAATATTTTTACACTGAATTTTATTAAGTGAATGAAAAGTAAAGACTACAAAAAATATTAATTATAACAGATTCTGCACAAATAAGCATAATTCAAACTTCAATCATAAAAAAATGAATTTTTATTTCCTTGTATGAAGTAAAGGAAGTATTGTAATTGCAAAAAATTTTTGGTATCATATTTCAATGAAAATATCCATTTTCACTTCTTTCGAACCGTCTAAATGGTGTTTTTGTATGACATCTGTATGTACGGACAGAATAAAAGTCCGTGAGCTAAACTGCAGAGAAAATTACCACCAAAGACAAAAAACAAGAAACCTATAACCAATATTTCACAAAGACCAAAAACTGGAATTCATAACCAATTAACTTCAAATAAATGCAACAAAAAATTAGAAAATAATACCAAAACCAAAACACCTCAAACAAGCAAAACCCCATTTCAAAAAAATCAATGGAACCCAAAGGAAAAATGAACAAAAACAGAAGAGGAATTCAATCAATTTCAATGCTACTTCATCGGGTGGGGTGGGGGGACATTGAAATCAATTGAACTCTCTCTTCTACAAAAATCATAGCTTTTCTGAATTGGTTATGAATTTCAATTTTTGGTTTTTGTGAAATATTGGTTCAAGGTTTCTTGCTTTGTGTCTTTGGTGATATATACACACACACATATATGTAAGATGAAAAACATGTGAATTAAAATTACAATTAAAACTAATGGTAAAATATTAATTCTCCCTCTCCATTCTAAAAATCGCAATAACTTCTCTGGATTGCGTGATTTCTAGATCATGCTCTAGCCTGTGCAACTCTGATGATGTAATAATTGGGAATTGGAACTACCATTGTAAACTAAAATTTTTCTCTTCATGTGCTTTCAACTTTCATAACTACACACTTCAGCTTTGACCTCTACTGTGCTAAGATTTATTTCGCTGGCTTACTTTCTATCTCAACAATATCAAAAATGTAAATCTTCTGTGGAAAGGCACGACTAGAGTGCCAAGTGATTGTGGCCACAAATATCAATTGCAAATGAAAATGGAATTAAAATCACCTCGACTACCAAGTTTTATTTACGAAGTCAACACATTAGCTTACGACACAATCAGAATACTTCCTCTTCAATATAGGATAACTATGCATCGACAGTGTTTCGGCTTTTCCTTTCCTTGCTTTTATTATGCCAATTATTCGACAGGATTTATTCTGCATGGGAAAAGAAGCTCCTCTCTCCCTCTGCTAGTAAGACCTATGCTGCTGTGCTTCTCATCTTCCGTTTGTTAGAATAGTTATGACGTCAAAAGCCTAGATTTCATCGTATTTAGTTTAAAACACTATTTGATATGCAATTTGGAGAATTCCATCTAAAAGAAAAATTATCGGCCATTTTAATTGAATAAAGATGTTTAATTAAACGCAAAATCCTTCTGTGTCATCATTCTGCTTTATTCCACTCAGCTAAAGAACGCCTGGACTCTGATGCCAAGCTTCGTCACTCATGTGCCCGACTGCTAAAATATCACATATATATAAATTCAAAATAAAGAAATTAAAAAGCCTATGGCTTGCACTAAAGCTGGAAAGTAATAAACTAATAATTCATAATACTTTATAATAAGAAAACTTTCCATATACTATCTCCAAGGAACACAATTTGTTTTTCATTCATAGTTTTAAATTGAATTTGCATTCCTTGGAGTGGGTATATGGAAAGTTTTCTCATTATAATATATATATATATATATATTATAAGAAGAATAGGTGAATAATTAATAAAGTATGCATATATATGTATATAAATATACACACTCTGTTACATGGCTTAGCCAGCTCAACTTTTATTTTTATATGTTGGTAAATTGTCCATTTCTTGCTTTAACCCTTTGACGCACGCTATATTATTTAAAAAAATTTTTTAACTAAAAACACTAGAAATCGAATATTATGATCCTAGAGACAAATAATATATGAATTAAAAAAAATCTACTCCCGCCCATTAATCTGTGGGTGGTGGTTTCGCTGTGAAACCAGCACGCATCTAGGACTTTGAAACTAACTTACTTAGCAGGAAAAACCAACTTACCTTTTTCCGTACGCATTTCCAATGAATGACGAAATTTGCGAATAAAAAAAAAAACTGCATTTAAAAATTGCATCAAATATAAATTTTTTACTTTATTTTACAAAGTATATCATCAAAAAAAAATTATAATTTATGTAATTTTTCTGCAGCAGTGAAAACATAAGAACGTACATAATAAGGAAATTGGGATAAATAGATAAAAAAAACTCAATAGAATATTAAAAAGCTCAGTAATTTTTTTAATGTCAAAGAACTATGGAACTGTTCAAAGCATGTTTTATCTTTTCGGTACACGCACAAGCCAACACTGCACGATTTCACTACATTCTGCATTTTATTCCATGTTACATCTGCAATTCTAGAAGGACCTGGTAAATTTATATCATCATTTTCTGACTGATCATCACTTTCATCTTCTATATTTCCATAAGCAGGAGGTAAGGGGGTAAAGGAGTATTTCCTTCTCCTTCACTTTCATCCTCAGAGACCACTGATTCTGGATCTGAAGGTAATTCTTCAAGTAACGCTAATGCATCAGCTATTTCTAACCCTTTGCGAGGCATTTTGAATCTCAACAGTAGAAAATAAAATATTGGCAAAATATTTTAAATTTAATTAAATTTTTGCGCAATTTCTATTTTTAATTATTCAAAAATATATTTGCAATTTTTTGGAACCACACAAAATAATTTAGAAAATCATAGTACTAGCATAGAGAGCAAGCATGTTGAAAGCAGAGAAAAATCTCTGGAACGAAAAATATTTTATGGGGGCAGGTGCATGTATTGTTTGGTAATACAATAACTCTGTGATTTCAAAACCCCTTATCTGGGTGAAAATAAACACTTCTATTTCAAAGCAGCAAACATTACTATAAAGAGCAGTGGTTTCAGGGCGCAACCACCGAGCCTCTAGGGGAATGTGAGCATTGTAACGCAATGCTCTAGTGGGGCAGTGGTCGCGCCCTGAAACCACAAAGGAAATACCATAAATACACACAGATTGTTTATATATGCAGTTTAATTATTGCTGTATTTTTATTGTTTATGATAGAAATAATGATGTGCGATAAAAAAATTTTAAATTTAAAGTTATTAATATAAATAAAAGGAAGTTATTTTTTCTCGCTGAAAACGAATTTTAAAAGTCTGCAGTAATTTTGCGTTATTTAGAGGTAAAAGATAAGTAATCAATCGGTTTTCACTCAAACAGTTTGGAAACAAGAGCGGGAAAAATTTCGAAAATTGGTGGTTTCAGGGTGCGACCACCGCCCCTCGAAGGGTTAAAAGTGACTGAATTATGTTGTTCTTTTATTCTGGTTAAGATTTTTATGCCTTTAGTTACCCCTGCTGTTCTATTCGGGTCTATATGATATATATATATATATGTATTTTTTATGAACAAAAAAAAAAAAAAAAAAAAAAAAAAAAAAAACAGTACAGGGATGTTTTCATGAAACTTCTTGGCATTGTTGGTAAATAATACAAATGTATACTCCTAAAAGGATTTATGTTTCTTTCTATTTCGAAGGAATATTTTTCAAATTTGTACCTAATTAATCATTTATTTTTACTCATCCATGTTCACTTTTGTTTGGAATAATTTAAAAGAAAAACTATAGTTTCTCTAATTTATCCATTTTTGAAATCTGTTTCATTGACGCACATGTTTGGTCACATATCACGAAAGCGTGTGCAAGGTAAAAACGTTGATACGTTTGGCAGGGATCCAAACTATATATTTTCTCTTATTGCTTTGTTACTTTTTTTCTGTTGTATTTTACTTTCTGATGTACTGTAAAAGAGCTGTGTTCGTTATTGTGAGAGAAAAAATGGCAAATCGCATAAATTTCAGTCAGCCTGATATAGTTACACTAATAGAAGCTTCTGACAGCGAAGGAGAAGTATCCAAATATGAAAATCACACAAGTGATGAAATTGACAGTGAAAAACTTCTGACAACAATTTTGATACCGATATTCAACAAATGAAATATAAAGAGAGTATTCAGTCCAAGAATTGTGAAATAAAGTGGAAGTTGAATATACTGCCACATTTTTCTCAATCAACAGGTGTTATTATTTTAAAAACTACTCCAGGGGTCACAAGATATGCAACAGAAAATATAACAGACGTAAAAAGTGCATTTGAGGTAGTATTCACTTCTACAGTTGAAAACGAAATCATAAAAATGACTAATTTGAAGGAGAAAAAGTTAATGCAAAAAAGTGGAAAAATATTGGAAGTAAAACTTTTCAAGCATATATTAGATTATTATTGTTAGCTCATAAGGAGAATTAAAAAAAATTATGAGATAAAGAAATTGGCAGAAATATATTTCATGCAAAGATGTCCCTCGAAAAATTTTGCATCATATCACGAGTTATTTGTTTTGATAATAAATCCACTAGTCACGAAAGAAGAAGTCTGGATAAATTAGCTGCAGTGCGAGATATCTGGAAAAAGTGGATAGAAATTGTTTCAAAATTATATAATCCATATCAAAATAATACTGTAGATGAACAATTAATAGGATTTCGTGGCTGATGTCCTTTCAAACAGTATGTAAGTCATCTAAATATGAGTTCAAAATATGGACTTCATGTGACAGTTAAAACTTCGTATGTACTGAAAACACAAATTTACACTGGAAAAGAACAAGGGTTAAAGCCAAAGAAAAATCAGGGAATGCGAATAGTGTGTGATCTTACCTATGGGTATTCGAGGCACAATATTACATGTGATAATTTTTTCATATCTTACAATTTAGGAGAACTTCTAAAACAGAAAATGACTATGCTTGGCACCATTAGAAAAAACAAATCTGACCTTTTTGAAGAAATGCCAAACAAAGAAGTTCACAGATCATTATTTTATTTTACACAAAGACACAGCAGTTGTTAATTACATCCCCAAAAAAGAACATGAATGAGCACTTCTTATGAGCACTTAGTCATAAGTCTGAGTCAATTATTATGAGCACTTTGAATCATGACACAAGTTAGCAACAGACCTGACAAAAAAAAAAAAAAAAAAAAAAAAAAAAAACATTAATGATCTTGGATTATAATTCAACTAAAGGGCCTGTGCATACTCTTGATCAACTTTTAAACACAAAGGAAAAAAAAAATTGCTGGCCTATGATAGTATTCCATACCATGCTTGATACTTCTGCATACAATGCATTTGTTCTATGGACATAGTGAATGGAACGAAAACAAATTGCCTAAACAAAGGCTATTTTTGGAAGAACTGGGAAAATAACCAATTTTTCCACACATTGAGGCAAGGCTACACCTACCAAGAAGTGAGGACTCAATAAAAATGTGAAACAAATACAGAGAAAAAGGGAAAACGCACCATAGGGATCTGCTGAGAATACTTCATTGTGTGTCAAATACGCAAGGTGCAAGCTCTGTCCATCAAGCAATGACAACAAAACTAATATGTTATGCTACAATTGTAAGAATCACATTTGCAAATCTCATGTAAGATATTACTGATCAAACTGTAAATAAAAGTAAGTTTCAATTTCAAATATTTTTCTGTTATTTTTATAGATGCTTTATATTATTAGCTCTATTTTTAAACTTACATTACTATTTTTTTTAAACAATTTCTTAAATGGCACCTGTCATTTACTCCAAAAAAGATTAGTTTTCTGAATCAGGTTATATTGACCTGAACGACACACATGGAGTAAATATGAACAGAACAGTAAGGGTTGCCTGCAATAGTTGTAGAATTATCAACAATTTAAAAGCTGTTTAAGTGCAATTAAGCCTAAGGATGCAGCCATATTTGTTTACATTTGAAACAGCAGAATAGTGAATTAATTAAGTCAGTGTCTGCAGCTTCAGTCTCTTTTTGCCGAATGGGGCCAGAAGAAAACTTTCAGTTTTGCGCACTAAAAAATGTGTCTTCTTGCCCGCTGGCCGAATTCCTTATTTTTGCATAGAAACTCTAATTTTCACTGTAAAAATTGTTTTTATTTTTAAAATGTATTTCGTGTTTTATGTTTTTCTATAGTTTTCAATTTTTAAGGAAGAATGTTTTGAGTTTTTATGAATTTTTGAGTTGCTGCAAAATGAATTAATTGAATGAGAAATATATCACCAAGGAAATTCGAAGAAAAAAGTTTACATGAAATGCAGCAAAAAATGTGTATAATTTAATAGGCTGAGCAAAGTTGTATATCGTCCACATCAGACCTTTGTGTCATGTGGTGTCCACATCAGACTTTTGTAAGAGAACTCATTTTCTTATGAGTGACAATAAAATAAAAATATATTATTAAATCAGTGGCAGCAAAAGTAATAGAAATTGAATTATTAAATTTTGGTTCTATTAGTTGAATAAATAATTCACAACAGATGACAGGCAAACATAGAAACAAGTATTTTACTTCACACTGTAATAAATGGATAATGAATAGAGATGAAAATGATAATCCCCAAACTTTTATGAATTAAAAATGGAGGAAGTATTATTTAAGAGTGAAATTATTATTAAAACCATATTCATGCAGTTTTGTGTTAAAACTAAATTAATATAAGTAATACAGAATCTGATGAAATATTTCACTGTACATTAAATAAAATACATTACTCACCTCTTACAAAATTTTTAAAAAATACACGTTTCGGAAGTTTTAAATGCTTTTTGCAGCATTAACATTTTGGATTTTCCTAGCACTAATTTAAAATGCTTTCATACATCTTATACGGCACTTTTTAAAACACTTTTCAAAAATAAATGTACAGGAAGGCCTAACGCACAGCTAAAAAATGCTGATCTAAATAACACATGATAGAATAAAAGTGTTTAAACAAGAAAACTAAAATATGTTTATACATCCAGACTCTACTAAACATTTTATCAAAATAAAACCTTTTATTATTTAATAACTATAATTATATGAATACAGCATAATATTCCATTTCATACTTAAGTAATAATGGTATTTGAAACAAAACAATGCAAAATATTAATCTTGAGAACTTTACCTTTATAAGATCGCCTAAAAGTTTATTAGCTTCAGCGTATGCTTTTTTGACTTTTTCGAAATGTTCTCCAAGTCCTAAACTAAATGCTTGAAATTGGAGATTTGTGTACTGGCCACCAGGAATCTCATTTTCATAAACATCTGCATTTCCACTTTTCATGGTTACAGTGCACTCAAATGGTGCATAAAGAGTGCGGGTTTGTTCCCAAAAAGCAGAGTATTGGCTAACTTTCTCCAATGAAATACCTACATAAAAATATAAACACTAATTGAAGACATCACTTCAAAAAGTGAAGAACTAACTTTTAATACAATAAAAATAAATGCATAATTAAGCCATTTCACAGAAGGCAGAAAAACAAAACATTATACTTGAATTTAAGAAAGAAGCTTTCAATTAAAAGCAAATAAATCATTCATATGGAATTCTGCACATGAAAGAGATTTATAAACTATTATTATTATGCTTACCAATAGAATAAAGGATATGAAAAAAATATTTTTTCATGAATTTCAACAAAATGAAAAAATATTCATAATTAAAAAAATAACTACATTCTTGATTATTTATAGAAAATAAGAAATCCATTTCCAATATATGTTTAAGAATTGATTTATCTTTCTCTGTTAAATATAAAAATAACATTACTTTTTCTAAGCAACAAATTTTGGTGAACAGTGCTTGACAATACAGCCATGTAATACTTTTTTGAAACATATCACCTCCATACAATAAATAAAGCAATAGAAAAAAGATGTAACTGATAATATTTGCATTTTTACATGGGCTTTAATTTCCTTGAAAATAAAAATATATCTTTTAAAACATAAATTATATGTACTACAACATGCAATTTTTTCCTATTAATTTATTAGGGAAATTTCAAATATACATACTATTCATGAAGTATTTTTTAAATTACCAGTATCTCGGTCTGTGCCAGACAAACATGCTACGACTGCTCCCATACTTGGTTGTGATGTCATACCGGACATAGAGTCGACAGCAACATCAACAATATCTGCTGAAGCCTCTGAACAAGCCAAGGTACATGCAACTCCAGCTCCAGCTGTGTCATGGGTATGAACATGAATTGGAATGTTTGGATGACGATCTCTCAAAGCTGTAATTAAGAGTTTTGCAGCCTGAGGTTTCAAAAGGCCAGCCATATCCTACAAAAATATTTCAAGATTTAATTACATATTTTATTTTGTACTTGGATGTTAGCTAGTACCCACGTATCCACAACACATTGCCAATAACTTATAAACACTCGTAAATGGAATATACTTTCAACACCAACAGATTAATGAAAAAAAAAAAATTTTTTTTTAAATTTCTGGCGAATATTGTCAAGAATCGTCTCTGACTGTTATTTTTTTCTACAGCTTCCATATTAACTCTGCGAAATAAGAAAGCAAATGATTTCTTTCAAAGCAATTCTTGGTTACGCTTATAGGATGTGCTCTTCTTTGAGAACACACAATTACATTAGATCTCTAAAAGACAGGTAGTGACTTTTTCCTTTATCTTATACCTACCAAAGAGACAGAAAAATGGTGTAAAAGACCCTTTTATTATCCAAATAAAGTTAAACAGATGGCACCAACTTGTTCTTACAGAAGCCAACACTTTTGGCTTAAAATCAAAGATAATGAATAAAACTAATGAAGTTTAAGCACTGCCTAATAGCTTCACAGTTTAACTAGCACACAAGCTGGCTCTGACCAAATTCGACGTAAACAAGCCTAATGGCTAAGAATATGGCTCTGACCAAAGTTGATGTAAACAAGCTTAATGGCTAGAATAACTCAATGTTGCAGAATTCTAATCTCTTGAGCAGGGCTAGGCACCCTTTTAGTCATCAATGGTACAAAATAAAATTTGAAAGCCTTAGAGAGTGCCACACATTCAAGTTTCATAATCAAACATCAAATGTCATATTGAAAACTAGTTTTCTTTAAAAGATATATTGAACTAAATAACAAACATTTAAATAATTTAAATAATCTTTAAATTATTTACATAATTTAAAAATGTATCTTTAAATAATTAAATAATTTTTAATTATTTAAAATAAAAATAATAAATAAATATCTTAATATCTTGTTCAGTTACATTGTTGAAGTCTTGTAACTGCTGTTTCGAGAATTCTGATTAACTTTGTTAATAGAAATTTTCTCATTTTCAGTAACTTCTTTGTTACTTTCTTCACTAACGGTAGAGGTATTTTATGGATCTAGAACCATACTACAAATTTCACTACTCATTAATTGATTGATGACTGAGAAGCATTGTCATCAGAATGAAAAACTTCTTTTATATCATCTTCATTTATTACTGCTTCTCCACATTTCTTTACAAAATCCGTTAATTGGAAAATTTCATCTTTGATTTGCAATTTCCATAAACCTTTAAAGTTAGCGGTTATCATCATCAAATTTAGCTATCCTTCACTATACATATTTGGCTATGCATCATGAGCTTGGTGACTACGACAAGTTGTTCCGTTAAATTTTATCTTGCTTCTATCGCACAGAGACAATTAAGCCTGAATTGTATTAGTTATTTATTATACTTATGCCTATTTCTTGCACATGCTTAAGGCTTATCAGAGTTCTGAATAAATAAATTCCCACATATACTTAAAGCCTTATTAAGGGCCGACACAAGTTGTCATATTTTGATAAACATGCAGTGATGAAAGGAAAGTTCAATAAATGGTGATTCACCAGGTTGGCATCAGATCAACGATGTACCTATATGGAATGTTTCGGTTTGAGACATGTGTGAAGCAAATATGCAGCAACGGAGCCAACTTATTGATTCTAGTACTTTACTTTCAAAATTTCCTACAGTTAGAGACATATATACATATCATTTATTTCCTCAAAATTCATCATTTTTTTAAAGGACAATATACTAATGGAAATTCTAAATTGATTAATAAAATGAAGGGGTAGGGAGAAATTGCAGTCTGAAAACTTCAGATTACGATCTAGTAAATTTAAGAAGCTGCCATTAAAAACATAAAATTAAAATATTTAAAAAATAAAAAAAAAAAAAAAAAAAAAAAAAAAGATGATGATCTTAAGATTCAAAGATAATCAACTAGTTAATTTGAAACTTACTTTAACACCAAGTATGTGAGTTCCAGCTTTCACAAGTTCATCTGAAAGCTTCAGATAATAATTGAGATCATATTTTGTGCGTTTTGGATTGGAAACATCTCCTGTGTAAGAAATAGCACCTTCTACAACTCCACCTATGTAAAATTTAAATAAAAAAATTTTACTCTCCATTTTTTTTTCATATTTACTACACATATATTTTATAAAAAATCTGTAATCCTCCATATACATTTCTAAATTTTTGTATTCTTAGCTTTTGCATTGTGTCATTCAAAAAGTTCTGCAGTTTTTTTATGATAAATATAAATAAAGCATAATCAAAGCATAAGAAGTTTATATTGAATCACATATGTGCCATTTTTTTAAAACTTTTTAGCACGTTTTAGGTAGCTGAAAAATTTCTTTTTTTAAAAAAAGTCATAAGGTTTACTTAGAAGTTACTTAAGTGCTGCTTGACAGTCTTCAAAGAAGTAAACTCCAGTTCCTTCAGAGAATTTTGAAATGATTTAATGAGATAAAAATCTGAAAGGCAAGGTCTAGTGAATATGGAAATAACACAGAATATCTCAGCCATATTTCAATCTTGCTCCGACACTCACTAAAATGTGCAGCCTAACCCCGTCATAATGGAAGAGCAATTGGTCAGTTCTGGGTGCTTTGTTTCGATTTCTGATTTTGAAATTGCAGAAGTATTTTTTCTGAATTTATTGCCTAATTTGGTGGCAACAATTCATCACATATAATTCCTTTGTAGTCCTACCCATAAATAAAACATTACTCTTCAGGGATGCAGCCTCCCTCTTGATTTTATTAAAGGAGATTTTTACACCATCATCTTTTTCCTGCAGCATTATTGTATAATATCCATATCTTACCTCTAGTAATAGGACATTTCAAAAAAGGAGTTTCTTTACTTTTTTCAGCAAAGAATCAAATGCCCATACTAAAACAAGTATATTCTGTTCTGTTTAAAGAATGGAGTACTCATACATCATAGCAGCTTATGGTTTTCTTCAAATGATTATGTACAGATTAAGAATATTTAATCCGTCTGATAGTTTTTGAACTGCATAACATTGATTTTAAATGGACATTACATTTACTGATGATATGGATTATTTAAATGATAATGCCTAAAGTTTCAATACTATGATACATTCCAAAGAAAAAATTTCAAAGAAAATAGCAAATAAATATATAAAGAGAGAATAACAACACAGCTTTTCCCCACTTAACAAAATTAGAATGATTCAGTAAGCTGTTACAGCTAACGACAATTACAATACTGTATTCAGATGAGTTATTAGAAATTTGAGAAGATTCAATGCAGCAGGTTCTAGTGCCAAAGAAAAATAATCCTTATTTACATATTTCAGAACATTCTGTCTGCAGTTTCTTAACATTGTTATGAATTGTTATGTATTATTTTTGTTGTGTACAATTATTACGTATTAATTTACTGTGAATAGGCAATTTGTAATGTTCTTATCAGAGAATTAATTTTTAATACAGTACAAAGTCTGTAATCCGGACTCATCGGGACTTCGGCGATTCCGGATTAGGGGTTTTCTCGGATTATAGATCATCAATTCAAATCTGGTAAGATGGTATGCAGAAATAATACAGTCAAAAGTTGTTAATCCGGACTCGTCGGAACTTTGGTGATTCTGGATTATCGGTTTTTCCGGATTATAGATCATCAGTTTAAATCTGTAAGATGGCATGCAGAAAATTAAAATTAAAAACATGAAACCGTAATTTATGAAATAAAGAACATTATGATCTAAAGGATATCAAAATTACAAAAAAAAAAAAAAAAAAAAGGTTATTATTTATTGTTTACTTAAACATTTCTTTCAATGTCAGTTGTTTAAGTTGCTTCGTTTTTATGTGATAATAATTCTCTTTAATTCTATAAACAGACATAATTCTGTTCAGTACAAAGTTCCGCTGTTTAAGTCCTATAATGCTGGTCGAGAATACGGACTAATTTGTCATCAAAATTTTTGTTTTCAATAACCTCTGTCACTTCTTCGCTATCGGAAGCGAATTATAATGACGAGGAATTGATTTAATCATATCAAAGACAGAATACGTCAAGATGAAATACTACATTTAGTAAGGAATTATAAGCCAAATAAAATAAAAACATCTGCCCTGAAGATAAGGATAGTGCTGACAGATCAACTTCCAATTCATTGTGCACCGCTAAAGATAAACAAGGTTTAGATAAACAAAGGATATGCCTTTATCCATTTTAGCAATTCTACTTTTTGTTTAATGGACTTCGAAACATACTTTCGCTTTGTAGATCCTTTACATATTAGTAAATATATATCAGAAATTCTATTTGACATAATCGAAAGTTCAAGCTTACTTTTATAAAATTGCTCTAACAGTCTGCAAAAAATAATAAGCCGAATCCAATTCGAAGATTAAGGAACAACGCAATCTGCAACATTAACAGAATTAGATAATTTTAGCTTAGCTTATACAGTCCATTATACATTAAACGTGCATTTGTAAACGTATTTTGTGCACGCGTATTCGCAGCCATAAAGGTCTTACGTGCATGTGTCAACACGATGCATGCGCAGAAAGTTTGTAGCTTCGAGGTCCGGATTATAGATCATTTCGGATTATGGGTGTCCGAATTAACGACTTTTGACTGTACAATTAAAAATATTAAACCATAATTTATGAAATAAAGAGCAATTATGATCTAAAGGGTATCAAAATTTGCAAAACAAAAGCTTAATATTTATTTGTTTACTTTAATAAACATTTCTATCAATGCAAGTTGTTAGATGCTTGTTTTTGTGCTAATACTTTCTCTTAATTCTATAAACAGACATAATTCTTCTCAGTTACAAGTTCCACTGTTCAAGTCCTGTAATTGCTTGTCGAGAATACCAACTAACTTGTCTATCGAAATTTTTTCATTTTCAATAACGTTCTCTGTTACTTTCTTCACTATCGAAAGCGCGCATGGGTAAACGCTTTACTGGCTTTACGCGCATGCGTAGCGGACGCTCGCATCAAATGCGCATGCATAAGTTTGTGGCTTTGAGGTCCGAATTATAGATCATTTTAGATAATGGACGTCCGGATTAGAGACTTTGTACTGTATATAACATTGTTTGAACTTTTTGTTCGATTACGGCAAAGCTCTTTTAGGATGGTAGAAAGTTGATGCAGCTAAAAGGCATGGATGAGGTTTTACTTCCGTTCTCACAATTCCCCTTATTTTTTTTTGGGGGGGGTGAACATATGTTTTCTGGTTTAAAGGCGAGAAAGTATTTTTGGCCTTTCTGAAGAAAACCGTGTGATATGTTTATTACCAATTGGTGTTGCACGTTTAACTGAATTACGATTGAAAACATTCCTGTGGTTGCACAGGAAAAAAAGGGTATGTCATCTTGAAAGAGAGGTCTGATTTTCTTCGAATTTTGGTAGTTGTTTATCACCTCTGTTCTAGTTGGCTAGATATGTTAAAGTTAAGACCTTCCTCTGGTTTAGGGTGTGGACACCTGTCTGAACACATGGCGGACTCCCTTCTTGACAGACGTGGGCGATTATGATGGAAGATCTGGGGCTAGGTCCAGCATTTTTGCGTAACCGGCAATTTTTTATTTTTATTTCGTCACGTTATAATTCCAAAGGTCCACGTTGAAGATGAGATTAGTGATGAGAGTATAGACTGCCATCATATTCACTTGTCTGTTTGCCTGCCGGTATACACATCATAAGCATGAACATTTCAAATGTTGTGAACAGCAAAGGATGATCTTTGAATTTATTGAAGTCATTACTTCACTTGCTAAGATGCCATTGAAGAAAGGAAAGAACGACTATTTCTCCTATGGTTTAAATTATTAGTCTCGAGGTTTGAATGATCGTCAATGTGTATCAGTTCAAGGACCATTTTTATGTGGATCTGGAGAACCTCCATGGTGAGCAAGCGTGATTCTTTTATGGACCCTTGTGTTTATAAATCTGCGAGTGATTATTTTTATTTTTCTTTTCCTTTAATAATTAATCTTTAGGATTTTGAAATGTTAAATTCTAAAGCTTGAGCTGTCATTTTTATATAGATGAAAATCTGAATATTTGCTGTTACTCAATAGTAGCTGAGAATGTGATTTATTGTTATTATTATTTTTTAATGCTTAATTGTCTTATAGTTATAATATAAATTAATTACAAGGTTAAATATAGTTATAATATAAATTAATTAGAAGGAAAATAAATGTTTCTTAAAAGAAATTTTCACTGAAGAAATGCATATTCAGTATTATATATCAAGTAATTTAAATACCTTACTAAATATCAGAAGATAAATTGTTCCATATTCTAAATGTGAATTATTAATTAATGATTTGTAGTATTCATACTCATAATGAGAAATAAGCAATCAAATGAGAAATTATGAGTAAATTTTTAGATAATGCTTGTAGGGGTAGTCTGGCCAGCAATCTAAAATTATAATGTTTGGAATATTTAACCACTTGTGCTAAAAAGATGTACCACGCACATCGAGAAGCTTTTATCTCAAACCACGAGTGATGTGAACACCACGTCGATAGGCATTTCTCGCAAAAATGAAAATAACGTGGTGCACACCTGCCTAACAATGAGATTGTTTATTTCTCGAGTTATAGCTCTGGATTGCCCTCGCAGACGCGGAGCAGCGTAAACGAAACACTTTACCGCTTGTTATATTGTAGTACATGGCACCGCAACCATGAAGTTAAATCGTGGCGCAAGTGGTTGATAAATGTGTTTATTGATTTAATTATTGTATGTTTCATTTGAGTTTTTATCCATGGTCTACTGTAGGTCACTCGTGTCATCCTTTCGAAAAACATGGTTATTTCAATTCAAACTTGGGTAATCCCATTGAAGGAGTAGAAAAATTAATTTTAAGATTTTTGTGACTATATGATCAGCTTACGTAATTTATTTGAACTAGTGATTAGACTTCTTTAGTGTGAGAGTTGACCTTCCCTGGTGTTTTGAAGAGTTCTGTGATGTATTTTAAATGTATAAGGTTTATGGCTATCTCTAGAATTGTATCGAAATTTATGTGTTTTCAGGTTGGAGAGCTGAAATAGTTTATTTGAGTGAGAGATAGCAGATTGATGATTTTGTTACGGAAATGCATTTATACATTTTGTTTTGATAAATAATCTTTGATTCTACCAAAACACCAGGGAGGACATTTTCTTTTCATTCCTTGATTTGAAGAGTTGAGAGTTGATCTGATAAACTTTATTTTTTTGAGCTGTTGTTTTAAGTGAATTTGTTTAACTTAAAGTAGCTTGGCATTCACCAAATTTTAAAGCGTTAGGATAAGATTGTGATTATCAGTGTTTTTTTTTTTTTCTTTCTGTCATGTCACCTAGAAAGAAGACAGCCAGTTAAATGTTTTAAAGTAATATTAGTTAACTTTTAAAATTTCTACGTAACAAGATGTTGCAGAGTAAAAACAGAATGCACCATTGTCAAAAGCTGGCAACGGACTAGCACATATAACTTCTAGACATTTTCAGCCAGCACACTGCAGTAATATAATCAGTAAAGAAAAGAAATTATTAAACATTTCAGAATTTCACTTAAACTAAACTAAAAGTGTAGCTGATATCAATTCAAGCCTCTTGATGTATCAATATTTTAATTTTGGGAATCAATCTGGAAGGATTATTTCATTAAAATTGTCATTTACGATAACAACTAAATGCAACAGAAAATTATTTATTACTTCCAATACACATTTAAAAAATTATACTAATATAATTTTAGTAATAGCTTCTTTCAATCCAAAATGTGATCAGATTAGTTTCTGATCCATATTCAGACTCTACGAATGTACCTAAATACTGTATGCTGCAGGTATTATCAAACACAACCTGCAAATATTATCAAGCAGTTGCATTCCTTAAACAGTCTCCTTTTTAAAATTAAATTAAATATTCAGGTAAATATTGATAACAAATAACTTTATATATTTTTTATAATTATATTTGGATATTTTTCTGCAAAACAAAACTATCTATTACTATGTCCATACTGCTGCCAAATTATCATCAAATATTTCATCTTATTTTATAGCATGACTGCTTACATGATTTTTACATGAATTTTAAAATCATTTTCAAGCACAGAGATTCTCCAAAAGCTAATTCAAGTGAATATTAAATTACATGTACCACATACGATGAAAAAGAATATAAAACCACACACGATTAATGATTCTATTTCTTATTAACCTATTAATGCCTTCAACATTAGCTTTTCATGTAATTATGTGATAAAGATGAAACTAAATTTTGAGCAGAGTTTTTACAATGATCATCATTATGTTAACTGGCTTACACTTGATAAATGATTTTTCTCATACACTTATAAAATAAAAATTCAAAGATACTCTTTACATTCATTTTACATTCTATTCACATTGCTGACACTATACATTATGAAACATAAACATAAAAGAAAAATAACATATACATTTATAGATATAAAACTGACAATTTTATATAAATAACAGAGCTCTTTTTACCAGCTTTTCCAGCTGCTTCCATTCCCAGAAAGAGATTTGGCAAGTAATTTAAAGAATCAAAAACTCTGAATATATCCATTCCACACTGTTTTGCCAATTCACAAAACCTAAAATGGAGAGAAAGCATTTATATTAAGAAAAATATTTTATTATGAAAAATTAAGCCTAAAAATGCAAAAAGGAAAAACAATTAACATTGCATATCATTATACGCCTTTTAAGCAAATTTTTACTTGCATATAAAAGTTAGTACAAAAACAAAAGATAACCTTGTACTGCAAGTAATTTCAGTAATGATGTTATGACTAAACAAAATCATATGTGATTATAATTTTTAATATAACGCAAAAATGTCTTTATTAGTCCAAAGGGATTTGAATCCCGAAGTACTATTAGTTTCGTTTTGGCATTTTGCGTCGGACGGATAAATGTCGGTTCACTTTTCAAACTGTTGCCATAAAATGTTAGAGTCCTGCATTATATTTGAAGAAATTAAATAATGAAAATCTGCGTAAATGTATGTATATTTCTCACATTGTCATAAAATAACGGTACATAGAGTCATCGAATTTTGAATAACGTAATCCTCCAACGAATACGAGCATGTGGAAGACCAAATTTGAAATTTGAAATTTGTTTTATGATCAATTTCCTATTTTTAAAAACTTTGACGAATTTTTGATTAACAAACTCAAGGATTTCAAAGCGAGCAATGGCAACGTTGTGCAGAAAAAACATTTTTATCTCCAGCGCGTGAGTCTCTGTATCGGAAATCCTAAAGATATGCTCGTTTTAAAACTATTTTGCGATATTGCTGTTGCACTGGATCTTATGGTTTAAGTGCGAGGAACATGATATTTAATAAAGAAAGGTAACACACAAAATGTTAAAAAACGCCCATTTGGACGTAATTTAAAATCTGAAACATTTCAGATTTTTTTTTTTTTTTAAATTCATAATATTGTCTTTTGCTTTTCCATCAAAGCCACATTACATATTTCCATAACCATACTGATGCATTTTGCTTTATTTCTTTTCTTGGGTCTTTAGTTCAGGGGACTCGGTACATTTTGAATGAATTTTTTTAATTAAGAACTTTCATTTAATTTTTATGAATATTCTTAAATGTTGTTATTAAACATATTGATTTAAAAAAAATTGGTGGTAATTAAAAAAAAAAAAATAAATATCTTTCTTCTTTAGTTTTCAATGTTTCTGCTCCCCAAAATTTTAAACTTCAAGGATCGATTTTGCAATTAATGAATTAGTTTTCAAGGAAAAAAATAAAATGCATCTACATACGTAAAAACTGGGGGGGGGGGGAACCATTATTTCCATAACATTTTTAGTCGTAGTATTTTTTTTCCCCCTTCAAAATATTGCAAAATCCATCCTTGATTCTGTTATATTATTCATAATAACCATTCAGTAAAAATATCATTCAGTTTGGTGCATATTTGTCAAAGTTTTAGGAATTTAAGTAAAAGGATTTATTGAAAAAGTGGAAACTGAGAAAACACAGTTTAAAGAATGTAAAGTCTTAAAATGGTTATAAAAACCTTTCGAATTTTTTTAAATATTTTTTATACTTAATGTCAGTACATATATTTCTAAAATTAAACTTATTGCAATTCCATTGTGTAATATAAACAATAATTATAAGCTTTTATTTAAAACCTTACCTGACCAGAAATACCACATGAAAAATCATAAAATGTAAATACCACTTTCCTTTATCAGTTTTCATTCATTATCACATACTCAAAGCAATTTAATCTATGAATCAATTGTAATATTACTAATAATACATTTCCTAACTACAATAATAATATTAAGTGGTTGTTTAATTCAACTTTTTAAATTTTAATAAACGAAGCAATTTTTAATGAAGCATTTAAATTATTTTAAATTTTAGTAAGCACAGAATAAGCATTTACAGAATCATTTTGTTCAAAACTGTCCAGCACCATATGTCATTCCTTCCCTTTTTTAGCCACTTTGTCTTGTCTACGTATTGCCATTTTAACTGATTTACGATTTTACTAATTTACTGGCTACTGTCATTTTTTCGTCTCTTTCTAAAGGAAAATTTGCGACTATCTAAAATAGTCGCAAGTTTTTTGGTTGCATATCCCATAGACACTCCTAAAACTTTTTGCACTTCTTTCATAGTGCGTACTGTTCCTTTGTTAAATTCACAAACTGCTTCTGTTACAGAACGTTTCACATGCAATTTATGCACAAATATTTCTTTTGGACACTTGGCCCAAATCATACTATGTAAACTTTTGTTAACATTTTGCTTTCTGCAACCTACACATCTTTCTAGTAGTTCATTTTGAAGCAAGCCTCTGATAAATTGGAAGAATTTTTGGAAGATATGTCTCATTTATTGGTGTTCCCAATTTTCAACTTATGCTTGTCTGAAATTTCACCTTTAGCTTTTGCTGACTGGTAAAAGCACCAAGAATTTGCCCCTGTGGGACATTTCGAGTGTTGAGGTTTCTTATCTGTGGAAATGCTATGATAGAACGTCGCATATATTGCTGTTTTCATAGCATTCACATCCCCCTTATGTCGCAGAATAGTGTTTTAATAATACCTAGTCAGCTTTTTAATCGTTGCTTCTTTCAAGCTACCATGAGACTTTCCTCCTAACATAACGCCTTGCGCACGCCAGTCTTTTACAACAGTTCTCAATCCTGTTCCTAATCTTTTACTGACATGGTTTATGCATTCTTCCTTTCTTATTTCAACATCAGAACCATAAACCTTTTTATCACATAAGTAATTAAAAGTTTTACAGTCACCATCAGATAGTAGAGTTACGTATCGAAATCCTAACGATACAAATTGTTTCCAGAGAACCAACACACCCTCCATTTCCATTGAACCAAATGATCCCGTGTGATTTAAATCACACTCACTTTTATGGCCATCATACAATATTTTAAATTCTGCACTGGATTCCTCGAATCCCTTCTTTGCTAGTGAACACTGACGGCACATTTTGCTCATTACTTCAAAATCGATCACGTAACCTGTGAGGATATCAATTACACATCCTACTCCTATGAGTGACGAATGTCCACGCGTCAGCCATGTTCCATCAAAGGAAACACCTATATTCGACAATTTCTGTAGAATTGGCGAGATGTTTAAATATGCAGTTTTAACCTCCTTACGAACTTCCGCAAATATATTTTGTGATGCGATGGAATAATGCATAATTTAAACGTCTTACATATTTGGTGTATGTCCTCGATGAAAAGGGTAGGAATATTCATCACCATATAAACTTTTCGATTTTTCGATGGCTGAAGCCTTTTAGCCTTTTCCCTATATAGTGAGAAGGCTTGCGTTACACGCACATTTACATCCTCCCCATCATTAGCTGTCTTTCTGCAAGAGTTTACGGTACATTTTTTTCCCTCACATGATACACAAATCAAATTCAAATCATAAGAAAATCCTAATTTACATCCAAGTTCAAGCGTTAATGTCTGTTTTTCACAATTAGTACACTTTACAAAACTGAATAGCTTATTAATTTGCCGAAAATCCACAATAACAAAATGTTCGGCATCAGATGCTTCATTCTTTTTTACAACAGATAATTTATGTAGCCTAATATTGCCTCCAATATAATTTTCCGAACTGCTGCAGTCAGCAACTTCATCACTCTTTTTACGCCACTGTTTTCTACTCATTTCTATCGCTCGCAAATTCTTACGTTTCTGTCGAGGCATATCAAAATTTAGCTGATTAATATAAACAAATATATATATTCTGAGCTGAGTAAGAGAAAAAAAATCCACAAAGTCAAAACAGATTGCAATTTCAGTAAGCGAAAAAAAGAAAGGAAATATTTATTCAAACTGCACACGCCACATGTAAACAAAGTTTGCCGATAGTTAATCACAGTTAATCGCTTACCTCTTCTTCTGCGCTTATAATTAAGAAATAAATATATAAAATAAGAATGAAAAGAAAGTAAACACTGGGATGGGCGTGGCATTTAAAGAGCTGTCAAAATGATTAAAGTACTTTTTATACCATTTATTATTGTCAGATTGCTTCAAAACTTCTCAGCGTAGCAATGATATTGAACAACATTTTTAGCAAAAAATTAGAAAATCGTTATTTTCATCGTTTTTCGACAAACTGAGGGTACCGAATCCCCTTCAATATTAGATGCTCCCCTAATCTTTTTGCTTTATTTTTCAAGTTTTTATTAAATTTCCTATTATTTATTAAATTAATTAACAAGTTAAGGCATTAAGGATCAAAAGTTATAACAAAATAATACACATTTAATTAAAATTGAAAACACAATCAATATGTTTCAAGATGATTCATATGTAAATAAACCTATGCACAATGATCTTAAAATAATAATAATAATTTTAAAAAGCTTGAAGTTTCAAAACTTCAAATTACAGTCTAACATATTAGATGATATTTTACCATTGTATAAATAAATGTAATATCTAAGGTTGCCAACTTAAATGACTCATGTTGATGGTTAAAGAGTTTTTGTATTACTAGAATTACTAGATGTACTGTAGAAATACTTGTATTACTAGATAAATGAATTTGTATCTGTATTCATGATAGATAAAAGCCATTAAGTGAAAATACCGTAATTTCTGGAAGAAAGGCCGCATCAGTGTAAACGTCGCACTCGAGAAAAATGGCGTGAAAAAAATTAAAATTACACAGAAACGTCGCATCAGCGTAAACGCCGCAATAGTTTAATTGCGCGTGACATCGTCGTGGGCTGTACAGATGCAAAAAGTCAACCTAAGTCCTGATATATGACATACTATCTCCCTTCGGAATAGTTTTTTGTTTAAAAATAATCATCGGCTTTAGCTTGTCACCGTTTGCGGCACAAGCTAACACACATGTAAATGACGTTCTTTCATGCCCAGTCATAAACATAGATACAGTTTTTGCACCAGTTTCATCAACAGTTCTGTTTGCAGGAGAGTCGAAGCTAACGGCGTTTCATCCAATTTATTATCTGCGACCGAGAAGAAGTTTTTTTTATCAATAATAGCTGTCACATATTTTAGAAAAGATGACTTTTTATACTGCTAGTCCGTTGGTAATTGTTGCCCGACTGTTGTTCTAGTACGCACAGAAATATTTTTTCTTTTCATAAATCTGCTACACCTCCTTTGAAATCATTTATGTTCTTTCGTTTTGCTATAAATTTTGCTTGTAAACAAATTTTTACAGTCGAAATTGCCATTCCCTTTCCTCGTTGCTCCTTTATCCAGTTTGCAAGGTCGTCCACCTTACAGTACCACTTCTTTTGGTTCGTTTCTGTTGTGGCATATTTTTAAGTTCTTTTTCAGTTCTCCAACGTCGAATACATCTGTCGTCCATTTCAAACTCTCGAGCTGCTGCTCGATTTCTAATTTGTTCAGCACATGAAATTACACTAAGCTTAAAACCAGCAGTATAGTTTCTGTGCTGTTTACAGACATTTTCAAAAATTTTCCACTCCCTTCTTACTTAAAAACTATCCAACAAGTACTTGTACCCAAACTGATGGGATCTGTATCTGGCAGAATGCCAAGAAAAATCCATTCATGCTGAAGGGGAAATACATCACAGTTCATTATTGCGAGGCAGGTGGAGTCGTGTCCGCCTTTGAAAAAAATTGCAGAAAAGGCAGGGGTAGGGAGAGGAAGGGTCCTGGAAGAATCATCGAATGGCAGAGGAGAGACACTATTCGAACTGATGAGAACGTTGATTTGAAAGGGGGAAGAATGTTATTGTTCTGAGATCTCGTTTAGGGTGAATAAGGCATATAGGTCCATTCAAGGGAAAGAATGTAAACAAAATAACATTCGCAAAAAGCAACTGAGTGGTCTTTTGTATGGGGACAGCACCAGTCTATGCACAATGACAAGGCCATCCAAACTATGTACAATGACCATCATAGGAAATATTTTATTTTTAGTGCACCTAAATGGCGCATGGGTAGAAACGCCGCACCCGCTGAAAATTTAAGTTTTAAACACGTAAGCGCCGCAGCGTTTCTTCCGGAAATTACGGTAATAATGCCTTTCAAAAGCTTACCGATTGTAAAGGTATTCAGCAGTTATAAAGTGTATATAGAGTATTCAATAAGCATTCTGTGCAGCACAGAAATTATGTGAAATACTGCAGGAAATTACTAATAAAATTGAAAATTAAATGCAGATAATTCAGATACTGATGATGGATAAAAATATCAGATGGAAGATACATGGGCACAGAAATATTTTAGAATCAGATTATAGTTAACAGTTTTTTTGAAGGCTAAAAAGAAATTTCAATTAAAAAATATACTAGTCTTTTTATTGACTGCACACCATTTGCACTGAATACTAAATTACATGCACTTGTCTTTGCACTTTTCAATAAATAATTTTTCCCCTTTTCTTTTCAATTTTTTAAAAAAGTATTTTCTAGTCCATGTCAAAAAAATATATTTTAATGTTACAGTGGATAACAAAAAGCTAAAATTAAAACATATTTTCCTACTTTTCCTACAAGAGGAAACATTAAAATTATTATATCAAATCACTTGTTATTAAACCATCATGTAAACCATTATACTGATTAATAATTGTAATAACAAAAACTCTACAGAACTCTGGAATAAAAAAATTAAAAACTTAACATTTTTAAAATTTGAAACAGGCTGTAGATTGAATACACTGTATAACATTAACACGTTGACTGCCCAACATGAGATAACTCATATTAGCGCTCTCCTTCAGAATGCCCAATAAGAGTTATCTCATAGTTTAACTTGCCACTTTTGCACTCTACAAGTTACTTACTTGCTTAGTGCTTGTTTTAGCCGTACTGAGGCGACAAGTCGAAGCATGTCTATGCAAATCAACTCGTAGTGGGCGAAAAGCTTTGTCTAACAAAAGCTGACTATGAGATAATTCGTAGGACTTTTTTTTCCTACCCCCCAAAAAATATAAACTTTATAATGATTGTTATGAATCATAATTTGTATTTTAAATAATATAATATGATTAAATTGATTTGGCTTCTAGGACTGAAATCCGAAAATAGCCGTGTCAGTCAATGTGTTAAAAGTGATGCACCGCCATTGAGAATAATAAAACGTGTAAATGATTAACTTTTGGCATCCAATGACTAGCTAGAGCTTCAATGCATTGCAATGGAGCATTTGGATGGTGTATAAAATAGACGACATTTCATTACTAAGGCATAAATTCCATGCAATTATGGATCCATTGAACTACATGTATTGAACCAATGCCTCGCAGATGGGTTTGCGAACAGTATGAGCAGATGTTACCATTTGAGAGAGGTTATGGAATTGCACTGACAGAACAGGGTGGTCAAATCACAGGAACAGTAGACATTTATGTTGCAGCAATGCTACTATTTGAAGATGTTGGCAGGAATGAGTGAACCATGGCTGTAAAAATATCAAGAAAGTAACAGTTGGCCGAGAGCAATATTAGAGTCTGATCAGTGCTCATAGCCTGATGCATACGTATCAATAATCCGATATGTAAATGGGGCACCAGCGACTACAATTTTTATTCATAGTCACGGAAGTGATTGCATTGACTGGTCCCTCAACATAACACACTGGCAGGCATGCTCTCAGCAGTGCTGTGTGCATTCAACCTGGGATCTCATAGACTGGAATAGAACTGCTTTCACATGAGTCCTACTCTGAACTGAGCTCTGCTTTTAATCATCTGGAGATGTCCAGAAGAGTGGTTGGATACTCACCTGACTGTCCTCTGCCACATAGCCCAACAGCCAGGAGTTTTGGTATGGGGTGCCACTTCATTTTGATAGTTGGACCCCTTTGGTAACCATCCATGACCCCTTTACTGCATGGTGGTATAGCAAAGAGATTCTACCCATTTGGATAACTCCTTGATACATCACTTTTTATGCTATATCATCTTTTAATACAAATTACAAACACACCAAATATTGAAGGACTAACTAAATTTCTTAAAGTACAGGAAAATTACCTAAGATTAATAAACTTACTTGAAAACTACATTATCAGGATATGATGTATAACCAACAGCATTAGCACCTCTTAAAAGCATCTGAAATGGAATATTGGGAATGAGATTTCTCATTGACTGCAGACGTTCCCAAGGACATTCATGAAGAAATCTCATAGCAACATCAAATGTAGCACCTGAAAAATGTGGTTAAAATGAATACTAAAAAAATTACCTATAAAGATATTTTATGAAGACAAAAAATTATATATGTGTACATTCATACATATTTATATATGCATAGTTACAATGCAAAATAGAATAAAAAACGGAAAATACATTTCAAATTCATCTCATACTTAATTTGGAATAAATCTCATGCAAAAACCAAAAAACCAGTGTCAAAGTGCATTAAACCAGGCAAAATATGCCAAAATAAAAAATGAAGTATGAAATTTACATCTTTCGCTGCATCGTCATCAGGGGTAAAAGCAGAGAAAGTAAATAAATAAAACAGCCATTTTTTAAACAAACAAAGACACATATTAAAATTTAAAATTAAAAAGAAAGTTAAGAATAAAAGTAATTTGTATCATTATCAGTCCAATACCTATAGGCCAAAGTAAACGGTGCAAAAAATTTTTTAAATTATAGCATCAAAATAGACAAATTAAAAAAGACTGAAAAAAAAAATATACAAATTTGTAAAATTATTTAAGTAGATCGAGTCCAAAAAGAAAACTAACAAAAATAATAATCCAATACTTAAGAAACAAAATCATATGCAAATTTTTTAATCCAACATTTGAAAAAACTAAATTATATGCGAATTTTGAAAACACACAGGCTGGATTAAAAAAAAATAGCATAAATCAAACAAGCAATAAAGCTTAAAAAATTAAAATTTACAGTTTTGGTGGACATATAAAACAAACATCCAAAAACATGTGAAACAGAAGTAATCCATCCAACATATGAAAAAATAAATGAAACAAATTAAAAAATATAAAATAAAAACAGAGGAAAAAGTTCTTAAAAACCTGTAACACAAGAGTAACAAAAGTTTTGAAATGAAAAAATATATTTGCCTCTATAGTAGCAAAGCTAAAATATGAAGAGTAATGAATTATTCACAAAAACTATAAATTTTAAAACTGATTAAATTCAATAAGAATAATTTGAAAAAACTTCTATTGTAATAATTAAAATGTGAAAGTAAAAATATAAAATCTGAAAAGGAAAAAACATGGAATTAGGAATTCAAACATAGATATATGTGTGTGTGGGAAAAAATTACTATATTTATTAACAAGGGGGAAAATATACACATTAACAAATATCTGATATAGCTATCAAGTCAACTATAATGGAATAGCCTATTCTGGAAGATTTTTTTAGTTACAGATTTCTGCTTCTAATGCCTCATTTGCAGAAATCTCTCCAGTGACATTGGCGATTTCCTGATTTACTTTCTCCAAACTCTTTTTAATTTGTTCTTTCCACTTTTTAATTCATAGCTTTTACAATTTCCCATTCCACAGTGGCAATACTTCCTTCCAATTCAATAACATTTGCTTCAACCATGTTCTTAACCTGAGAGAGGTACGTTTTCCATTCCTGCAAGCTACAGGTTTGTGGAAATCACTAATTACTCCAGATAAACGAGAAGTAACTGACAGTTTAGAGTAACAAAGCATATAACAGTCTTCTAAATATACAAAAAAGATTGTATATTACTGATGTCACTCACAAAATAAATTCTAAAATGCAACTCTTTGAACCGCAGTTAATTCTGAATGATTTCAGAGAATCTGCAGCTCAAAGAAGTAACTAAATTGTATTTTAGAATTAACTTTGTGAGCAATATACGTAATCTGTGATATTTTTTGTATATTAAGGAAGATACTTGTTTACAGCTGTTATTTTTGCTGCATACTCTAAAACCTAGAAAACTGAGAGCAAATAAAAAAAGATACTTTGTGAAATGAATTTGAAGAGTGATATATCTATGCCACAATTTACACTAAGGCTTTTCCTTATTTTTCTTTGATAGTGGAAAGCAGAGCTGATCTAATATTTGCACATTTTGTAATCTAGATACCACTGCACATTTAGTTTACTGCAAAATTCTTAGTTTGAGGTTACTTTTTTTTTTTTCACTGTTACATTTTCAATCACTTCTTTTTAAAAAAGATTCAGAATGATGAACTTCCATTTAAGAGTTTAACCTTACAATTTCGTTACAAAGTAATTTAGTGCAATGCTGGATCCATCTAACTCTACTTCAAACTTAGAACTGAATGAAATTTATACATATGATGTAAGATTTATCCGAAGTTTTTAACAGTATACTCCTTTCCTATCTCTCCTAATTTCAGCTTTCAGTCTCCTACCAGAATGTGTTTTTAGAATCGTGTTTAATACAAATGAGTAAGAGTAATTAATTAATTTAAGCCAAAGTTCCAGTGACTTCAAGAGACAGCTTCAGAAGTTCTGACTAGCACACGTTTGCCTTTTGGCCACATCTCTTTAAGCTGTTACTACGCTTGGCCGTATTACAGGCCCCTTATAGCCTCGCTAGCTAAATTCAATATTTAGGGGCCACCTACATAGATTTGTAATAGCTTCGGCTATATCTCTTTAGTCAAGCATTAGTTATGATTTCTTATTTTGAGTTTAAGCCCAAGTGGAGGCTTTGCTGTATGCCCTGAGAAAGGGGCCAACTATTCATTCTTATTTTGAGCAGTAAAGGGGACTTAACCCTTCTCAAGTCTTATATTTCTGTTACTGAACTTAAGTGATTATTCGCTTAGTAGTTCACTAGGTTCCTCCACATTTAGTTATTAGATAAAAGGGAAAGAACCACACCATTTCACATACATTATAACATATTATTCATATTCACTGAGTAAAAGGAAATTAATTAACTAAAGAAAAGTTCTTATTAGAATACAAATATTTCAAGAATCCCAATTATCAGGAAATACAGTAATATATTGTTTTTTAAAAAAAGCATATTTATTCATGCATTCCCCCAGCTTTTCAGTGAAAGGTTCTGAACCTTTTTTAAGTATTCATGTAATTTTCCCCATTCTCAAGATGTTCACATGAGCTTCCCTAAATTTTAAAACATAATTATTGTTATCCAACACTATCATTATCAACAGCTATCGTTCCAATAATGATTGTTTTTATCTTACTTATTGATTTGCTCATAGAATTTTGGTTCACGGACTCTGACTGATGAAGCAACAATAATGAAGAGCTTCAAGAAAATGGAGCTATCTAATGATCAAGACGATAGAGCTTCAAGAAAACAAAGATGGTTTTAAAGATCATTGCATGTATAGAGATAGACAGAACAATGACAACAACTGCAGGTGATGATGGTGACGACTTGCAAGTTACAGTATATGACACAGACAGCACTTCCAGCAGGATTAAATGATTTGAGCATTAGGGATTGGCAGTGGACAACAATAAAATCAGGCAAGAAGTAGAAATGAAGATTTTATTAAATAGTGTAATTCTAATATATATTCTTATGTATTATGTATTCTTATTGGAATGTAAGTTTCTCTTAAAAAATAGTATTGGGATAGCTACAGGTAATTTATTAATGAATATTTTTCACTCATTTTGTTCTTTCTGTGACCACATTCTTTGAAATCTAAATTATTCACATAATTTTTATCTCAATTTTTGTATATTAATATCAGTAAAAAAAAAGGAGGAATACCCGAGTAAATATGGTAAAACTTTCAAAAATAACTTTTAGTGGGAAAAAAAAAAAAAAAACCAGCTTTTCAGATTAAATTCCAAACAAAAATCTAAATTTAAATGTTAAAAAATATACATACCTCCCCAATTTTCAAGACTAAAAAAGTTATTGAAATTGTGAGCAACGAATGGTGATATCTTTAATAAATCATAAGATCTGACTCGAGTAGCTAACAGAGACTGATGTGCATCTCGAAATGTTGTGTCCATTAATAATAAACCTTTGTGATTTCTTATTGCTTTACTAAATGCTTCAGGGCCTTCTCTTAACAAAACATCCCGAAATCCTTTAGATGGTTTAAAACCTAAAATAAAAGAAAAGTCATTTTACTACAAAATAATGAGCTAAGAACCATAAATGCATATAAATGAAATTTACCAAATAATTTCAAACTACTTTACACACCTATATTTATATCAGCTTTTCTAAAAATAGATTCATTATCAGATTGATGAACAAAGAATGATACAAAGATAAACAAACAAACAAAAACTCCACTTGTTCAGGAGCAAAACACGAGCTCATTTTTATTGAATACTACTAGAAGCCAGCAGTGAAAATAGCTTTATTTTGTAAAATGAAGCAGCATATAGGAACCAAAATAGTGTTGTCAATAAATTAAATTCACTGTCTACACAGGGAAGTGGTTAGTGACTCTGACTGCTGTAGTGACAGGCCTGAGTTCAAATCCTTGAATCCTAGAGAAGGTATGGATGTAGTTTATCTGTCCCTTCATAGGAAGCAATAGTGGCCCACCTATTAGGTCCTCCAACTCCCGCTTTCAGCCTTTGCAGTGATCAATGCCTATAAATGGCTAGAGCGCACTATTGGAAAAATAAATTCATAAGTAAAATTCACAAATTATCTGGATTCATAATTACACAATTTGCAGTGCATCAGCTTATAGGCATTGCTTAAAGTGGTAACATTTGTCCATGACTATTTTGATAAAATTAACTGATGAGAAAAGACATCTTTCAAAACAGCAATGGAATTCAATTAATTTATTATAACTGGAAACACAAAAGTATACATTTTCACTGCCTTTTAATTAGGGAAAATGTCAATACTAGTAGAATGTCTTTCTGGAAATTATTTTTGACCGATACTGTATCCCTTATTTTAATACTTGAAGGGCAACCTTCATCTCATCATTTTTCAGGAATTCACTGATTTCATCATGATCACTGTCAGAAAGTTTATTTATTTCAGAAAGTGATTAGCAGATATCTTCTCTCATCAATGTTCATAAGTAGATATCCATGCTTTAAATTTCTCACAATTTATATTATTTCAAGAAACTGCTTTCCCTCCTTTAACTTCCTCTCTTTCATCATTTATTAAAAGGCCCACCAGTAGCCCAGCAATAAAAGTCACTGCACACTGGTACTTCGATCAGAGGTTCGAATCTCGCGAACGGACTAACTGCGGGGGCGTTTTCATGGTTTTTCCTATGTGTAACGTGTATACAAGCCAGTTTCCCTAAGAAAGTCCTCCATGAATGCATCCCTTTCTTTAGGCAGATAGCCCTTGAGGCTTTGGCATAATCTCATAGAACCAAAAACCAACCATTTAATAAAAGACTGTCTTTTAAAATGGTCCTTTATAAACTTTTCTGAAATATGGTTCCAATGCATGTTTAGTAAATGCAGCATGCCAATATGATTAGTTTCCCTTGCTAATTCACCTGTACTTATATCCATACCCTACTAGTTATAAAGGACTGTAACATACACCTCACAGCAATAATATTCTTTCATCAATGTAATAATCCCATTGGTTGCATGGTTGAATTAGGACAGTGGTTTTTGCTGATTAATATACAATTTTTGTATACTTAAGAGAGACATTTATGTTATGTTAAGCACCACGCAATTATCAGTAAGAAGAAAAGTTTCATTCTTCATTATCCCATTTCAAGAGCCATTAGTTAAAAATTAATTATGTTACTTACGCCTTGAACTATATCTATAGTCCATTGAGAAAGTTTCTGTTCTCCCCCCTCTTTTTGATTATCACCTTTTTTTTTAATCTTTACACATATTGATGCAGCAGAAAATGGTCACAAAATCTTTTGATATTTTACAATTTGAGATTTCAGTTTTAAATAAATATGTATTTTGGGACAATGCACAATACTATAAATCAGTTCATCTACATTATAAATGTTTTTAGGATCAATAGATGTAGACTAGAACTAGTTCATTTGCATTATAAATGTTTTCAGAACAGCACTTGTAGACATTTAGGCCATTCATTTGATAACCATGTTCCTGCAGTAGGTAAATCAGTATCTTTCTCTTGACTATTAATACATCCGTAAAATTTGTTTTCTTTTGCTCAGAACACGCATATATTACTACTAAATCATTTTCCATTGTTATTAAGGTTAATTTTTTAGTTTTTTGCTGCACCAATGGATTATTCAGTGTCACAGCTTTTTCACAAACTTTTGTAAAACAAACTTTAAATGCTGCTTCAACAATGTTATTTTCCCCTGAACTTACTTGTTTCTCATTTTGATTTTGATTTCGTACTTACATACTTGTTTCACATTTTTATTTTGTTTTTGCTTTGATTTGCAAAAACTATCTTCACAATTCTTTAAAATCTTGCATAAGCTGGAGATTGAGAAACGTTTAACTTAAAAGTAGCATTCTGTTGACAGATTTTTAGGAGCTGTTCTGAGAAATTAACATTATTTCTTAGACTCGAATCATTATGCCTTTTACTAATTACCAAAACTTTAAAAGAAAGTAAATGTCACTAAACAGAATAAAAATTGAGCACTTCCTATAACATTCATCAAAATGCAAGGCTTGAAACACAGCAAACAGATTTTCTGATGCATAATAAAAAGGTTATTTAGAATTCCAGGTTCATTAGACTGGTAGCAGATCTTTTTATGTCTCGGAAAATGAGTTCTTTAGTACATAGTTAAACTATTCAAATTAGAAGAGTGCATACTAATGTAACATTTAAAATTAGACAGAGGGGAAAAATTAGTTTGTACAGATTTTTTCCAGTGGAAATTATTTTGTTAAGAAGAAAGGCATGTGTCCGATTAGCACTGAAATCGACAGACTGTTGAAAATATACATCAAACTAAAATTACTTTTTTGCCTAATTTTAAATGGTTGAATAAATCTAAACACAAGCTGTTTGATGACTTTATTTGGCAATTTTTATAAACTAATTTGATCTTATTTGGTGACTTCATTTCCTATTTAGTGAGCACACTACAACAACAACAAAAAAAAAAAAAAAAAAAAAAAAAAACTACAATATTTTGATCACATTAATCAAATTGTTGATCACAACATGTAATGTATTTTCCATATTTCGGTACACAATCAGGTGGGACATCTGCAGTTTGATAACAATATACAAATCATAATATTAATCATGGTCACATTAAACAATATCTACTGCATTACAGTAACCTCAAAATAATTCTGATGACATCTCGTGATATAATTTAGGTTCTGATTATTTCAGACAGACTACTGAATTATTTAAATGTCTTATAGTGACATAAATACATCAGAAAATACTATTTCTAACTTTCAGCAGCAATGAACAAAAAGAAAAAATAACTCTTTTTATATTGAACATAAAGAAAAAATAACTCTTTTTCATATTATCTTTAGACAAGGGAAACAACAAAATATTAACAAATATATTAACAAAGGTGTTTATAACAACAATTTGGTAGAACAGAGAAGAAACAATGTTATGCTAACTATCAGAAACAGAACAACATAAATTTGATTTACTATTAAAAATTCATTATTTTTTTACATAAAATTGGTATAAAAAATGTTTTTCAGTTTTGTTGCATTGAAAGGACACAAATGAGAAGTAAAAATGAAAGGATAGAAGAAAGAAATGAATGAAAGAAAGGAAAGGATATTTAAATCATTATATCTCTAACACATTTAAAGCATCATATCTCTAACACAAAATTTAGCAACAAATTTCTAAACTTTGTTGACACATTAGCTTTAAATCTATTGCTATATCAACTATTCAAACCATGGACGTATAATTTTAATACAATTTTGCATTACTATAATATATGCATATGATAGAAATATAATACTATATATATGCATTTAGATGAACACGGAAAATAAGTAAAAAAAAATTAACCTGCAGGAACTTCAGGAACTTGTGGCTCAATATCAAAAGGTTTTAAATTGGTTGCTAGTGGCGTAGATGGCCCATTTACCATTACTTCGCCAACATAACGCAAAAGTTTCTGAGCTCTGTTTTGAGTAGCTTCAAATTGAAAAAGAAGAGGATTTTCATCAATGAAATTTGTATCAATAGTTCCACTGAGAAATTTTGGATTTTCTAAGACATTTAGAAGAAATGGAATGTTGGTCTAAAATAATAATTAAAAAAAAGATTAAGGATAAATATGCATAATTGTGAAAAATGTTTTAATTAACATCATTAGAGAGATTTAAAATTATCACAAATAATTTACATTCTAAAGCGAACATCCAAAAACTATAAGCATTATGTTTCTAGATGTTTCCTTTAAAATAACTGCATTTAAATGACAGATATGTGCAGATGTACAGTGCACATACAACACAACATAGAATTGACAGTTGTTTCATATAGTATAATAGTCCTTAAAATTTGTCAGTGTAGATTTGATAGATATGAGTTATATGCATAATACTGCTCTATTTAACTGCAGCTAAATTCAATTCATCAAAATGATGGGGTATCTAAAGGGTAGAAGTATATCCTAGATGGAAAATGTTGTTAATGGCATGTGTAAACCAAAAACACATCAGTTTTTGGCTATATCTTGCAATTGCTGTCCAGCCAAACAAACATCAGCAACATATGAAAACAAAAAACATTCATAGGTGGTACAAGTATGGAACTGTCTATTTTTAAGAAACCAGTTATCTAAAGAACAAGAGTATCACATCACTATTTAATACTGATAACAATTAAATCATCAGACAATGGCTTATACAGTGTATAATGCATTCTTTAGAGTTCAGCACTAGACAGACTAGAGAACATCATGAGTGGACAATGGTATATGCAGACTGGCAGGTCAAATCCCATTTTTAGTTGTTTTGAGTAGATATGTTTACGAGGAGATGAACACATAAATTCTATGCTATAAATCTATTTTGTCAGAAAGTGCTAGGGGTGCCTTAGGTATCATATATGATACATTCTGTTGGAGTTCATGCAATTAAAATCTAGCAACATACGCAAGTCTTAATGGGGGCAATTTCCACTCTTACGAAAGCACTGCGATTCCCTCTAAAGATGTTCTGTACCAGCACAATAACATTATCCCCATTGAATACAAATGACACAAAACTAGATGAACATTGCACTGACTTCTAGGTACTTAACTGTCTTGATAACTGCTGGATTTAAGTCTTTAATACTTAACAGACACTATGAAGAGCTTACCTATTACTTTGCAGAGACATACAATAAACACAGTTGCATTACCAACAAATGAAAAAGTGCTGGGCTTGAAATATTTTCAAAACAACTTCGACACTTCATTGACTTGATGTCACATTGAATAACTGCAATTATATGAGTATGCAATACAACTGCACGACAGTAATAAGGTGCACTAATAATGCTTTGGCAGTTTATTTTATACTCTTATATTTAAAACATGCATGTTATAATTTTTTTAATACAAAAAATTTTTTACTTGCTATGTACACACCTTAACACCCCTTATACGAAATTCTCGCAAGGCTCTGTTCATTTTTGATGCAGTAGCTGGTAGATCTTTTGAATGTGCTATTACTTTTACTAATAGTGAATCATAATATGGTGAAATAACTGCTCCAGCAAATGCAGAAGCGCCATCTAAACGAATTCCAAAACCTTCTCCACTGCGAAAGACCTATATAAATAAGTGTTTTCTATTAAAGAACAATTACATAATTATTAAAAAACTGCAATATGGAAAATCTATATAAAGATTTTAACACATTAAAAACTAATAACTAAATATGAGCCTTTTATATTTCATATATTATTACTATTAAATAACCATAAATCACAGTGCAAGATCAAATCATGTTTTCCAATGAAAAGCATTTACTATCTAACTTAAATAAAGATTACCTTTTCCTCCGTTTCTCACAACATTTTTCTGGCAGGTGATGAACACAACATGCTAGGTTAATTCATGTAAAATACAAAGACCAAGACATGGAAATGTATACAATTCAGCTTACCGATGTCAATGCTGACAAAGGCAAAAATACTAGCATTTCACTAGTATTAGTGAAAGTTTAATTCTCAGTAAGTTTCTCACTAAGTTTAATTCTCAGTCACTGAATTGGCTAACTGCTTTTGAGTTATCCACACTTTTCCTCATGCATAATACAAATATAAGATAATTTTTCTTACAAAATACTCCAAGATGTCATAACTTTCCATAGCGTGCAAACCTGGTGGGCTTTAATATATTTAAATAACCAAATTCAACACAATTAATTTATGTAGTTAGCATCAAAATTGAAAATTTGAAATATTCCGTTGCTGTAATAGAAGAATAAAATAAAAAGCATGAGAAAACTCAGCAGAATTTTTTTATAAACTCTTATTGACAGATACATATATTATATACAGTGAAAAAAATCAGGAAACCATATTCTAAGGACTGTAGGTGAACCTGGGTTGAGATAGGACTTTTTAATTGCCTTATCTTCCTCCAAGAGCAACAACTAAACAAGCATCCTTATTTTACAAAAGTCTGCACTTTGCATTTATATACAACCTACAATAGCTCTGTTTTAGTTTACAAAAATAATACAAAGATAGTTTTCACTATAATGACGAAAGCTAAATGCAAAATTATCATCTCCTGAAGAGAAAAAAAAAAAAAGGTACTGGACATCTGCCATGACTATATAAAAGAAATGATGAATGATAATTTTGCTGAAAAAAAGTATGGCTTTAATTTTGAAAAAGCATGTAGGTTTATGGCAGTTTTCAAAATATTTTAGCTGCCTATAAAATACTGTGTAACATAAAAATTAAGTCTATGCATTCAAGCAAACTGTAACAGTTAAGGCTTTTCAGACTTTTAGACAAATGACAAATCCCACCACTGGGCAAATAAAAAAAAGCTGCAAATGTAGAGGGGGAAAAACTGTAAATGTAGTGACTTGACTGATAATGCTCTATCTTGTACATTGTAGCTCCACATATTAAAGCTAATGAATCTTTATTCATGTGCTCAGCTGTCTTTCAAAATTTACAAAGCGAAATGCTATTTTTCCATTTATTTTGGCTAAACAGATCCTTTTTTAAATACTTTTATAAGATATGGAAATATTCAAAAATGTTTCCTATATAAATGAATCATAATTGCTTTTCATTTAACAATATTTTGGTGTATGAAAGGTTTCACATGAATATTCTATTTTCATAAAATAAAGGGAAAGAATGGACAGTTTTATAATTCTCACTCTAGATGGTTGATCACTGAAATTCTATTTGCATTTTTTATGTGTCAAAAGCATGACTTAAGATATATATTAGATTTATATATAATTTTATTCTAGCAAATATATTTTGACGTAAAATTGGACATTTTTCTGAAAATGACGCGCTGAAATTTTTTTTTTGGGGGGGGGGCGCATAAAGTTATACAGAAATGGCAGAAATCGCTTTAAAAAAATAGTACTCAAAATTTTAGCTCAGATTGATGTTAAATGAGTTTGGTATATATTTTAAATATAATTTTTTTAATTAAATGTCCTTGCTCTCTTCTTTCATAATATGAAATTTAAGTTTAATCCAAATCAAATTCAGATACTTTTCCTTTAAAAATTTTTCAATACTTTTTTATACATTTTTCAGAAAAAAATTTAATTATAACCCATTTAAATATTTCAGAATCTTATAGTAAATACTCTTCAGAAACTGCAGAAATCGACTGGAGACTAAAGACATGTTGTTCTGCTAGATTTTGTCTTGCCTCTATTGCACACTGACAAAGTTACGCCTGGATTATATTAGTTAAGTTATTTATTACACTTACAACTATTCCCTACAGATTTTTAAGGCTTATCAGAGTAGAAGATTTAAAAAAAAAAAAAAAAAAAAAAAAAAAAAAAAAAAAAACACTGGCAGTTATCTGGAGATTTGGATTTTTGATCCATTCAGATAATGGACTCCTGGATTTTGAACTTAGTACTATATACATCCTAAGTCGCTCTTTCAAGAAGTGTGAAATGCAAATTTTTTTCAGATTAGTCACCTCAGACAGGAGATACAGAAACTGTACCCACCTTTACTGTTTTTAGTGCAGTAAAACATTTGAATAAATGATTACTTGAAAAGAGAAATAGGTACACAAAAGGAAGCAAAATGTAAACTCTCTACAAACAATTTCTTAATATTTAAAAAACTTTTAAATTTCATTTATTATACATGCATTGTTTTCAATACTTACAATGTCATTTAAAAATCAAAAATTTTAAATTTTAATCTTGTTACTAGACAAATATCAATATAAAACAATGAAATAAATGCTAAAAGGGAGATATTTGAAGAGAAATACAGCATTCTCAGTCAATTTTAAAATGTTTTAAAATAGGTTAAAACATGCATAAATTTTAATATGAATTTAAAATAAATACAAATGCTTTAACAAGAGGGATATGGGGAGTATATAACAAAAAAAAAAAAAAAAAAAAGATTAAAACTCTAATATACCTCTAATCGACCAGTATCAGGTTGAAAGTTTTTAGCAGGGTCTTCAGTTGTTACACGGCACTGTATAGCACAACCTTTCATATGGATATGATCTTGTGGCATTCCTAATTCAGGTAAACTGTATCCTTCAGATAATTTTATTTGAGACTGCACTAAATCGATACTGGAAAGAAGATATATATTAAAATAAGACAAAAATTCACAAACAATGATTAAATGATTATATAAAAAATTGATAATTTTATTAATAAAAAAGTACTTTATAAATATATATATTTACTTTGTTTTTTCCTTGCTTTTGCAAAAATGCCAGAAATTTTCGGGTGAACTATTATAATTAAAATACACTGAAATGGTTCATCAGCTAATTATGGATACAGAAGCAAGGATTTTTGTAGAAGAGAGATTTCAATGTTCCTCCCCCCCTGCAAGAATGAGTATTGATTCTCCCTGTTATGTTCTTTGTCTTTAATTTATTAAATTGTTAATCGAAATTTATACATTTTAAAACAATAAATTCTTCGGACGTTTAAAGCGCATCTTAGAAGTGGCGCCATCTTGCCATATACATTTGTACTAAAAAGTCGTTCTAATCTTTAACTTTCGTAAGTTATTACAACGCATAGTTTGGTGTTTTAAGCCCCTTTTCAGAAATTACAAATAATTTAATTAGATGGAATAATTGCTATCACAATAGATCTTTTTTTTTTATTTAAAAGAATGATGTAATGTAAAGTAAAAAAATTAATACAAAAAAAGACGGAATACATGATAGCAATTATATTGAATCTTATTAAATTATTTGTATGGCCCTGAAAAGGGCCTTTTTTATTTTTAAGAAAATATGATTTTAAACTTGTTCTCCTCAAATGCGATGGGCCAGCTGAATGTCTTTGGGCATGATGGTGACTCTCTTGGCCTGAATAGCACACAAGTTGGTATCTTCGAACAATCCTACGAAGTAAGCTTTGTTGGCTTCCTGAAGAGACATAACTGCTGAGCTCTGAAATCAGTCTTGAAATCTTGAGCGATTTCTCTAACTAAGCGCTGGAAAGCAATTTGTGGATCAGCAATTCCGTATATATACATTGTCACATTCATGCCAAAATGTTTGCAATGTAATACGGGAAAGATGCAAATACTTTAAGGCAAAAATTTGTGCAAAGTTTTTTAAAAAAAAAAAAAAAAAAAAAGTAAAATTATTTCGAAATGTTTAATAAGTATGTTTTATATTAGCCATCCTATCAACCTGATGGATCTCTGCTTTTTAATATACTATATTTCAGGCACATATGCATTCCCTTCAAAAATAACAAACCTAAAGAACATTAAACTCCAAAAATATACAGACCAACCAGAAATGCAAACACCTAGTCCAGATGGGAACCTACATTACAGCATATTAGAGTAAAGAGGATAATTTTTGATAACATTTCAAAACACTTGATTCCATTTTGAGAAACATCCTTAAAATATAAATAAATAAATAAATAACAAGATTATCTTAGAAGATAGAAAACTTGGAATATACATCTTAGAAGACAGAAAACTTGGAAGAGGTAATGGATATTAAAAAAACAGCTGATACAATGAAAATTTAGCAATCTCATTTAACACATAAAAGATATAGAAAATTAACTTCAGAGAAGAAGAAATCATATCGTTATAATTTTTAAAAAATTATTGCATTTTGGTTTCTATGTACTGTTAAAATGTTCAATGTTGTTTAAATTTATTTGTTGCATTTTATCCAAGAATTTTAGCAAATTTTCATTAATCTAACTCATGTATTATTGCCAACTCTTAGTAGAAGTTACCAAATTTTCAAAATGTGCTAAATTCTAACAACCATGTGCATAACCATTCTTCAGACAACCACACAATCTTCATAATCTTTATATATGATAACAGTCTTTCAGTCAAGTAATATCACCATAAGTTTCAATGGTTTTTAAAAACAGAGATATTTTTTGGCCAGAAACTCAATTTTAAAATATGTGCTTGCAGAATCTGACAGCAATGGAAGAAAGTGGGATAAAGCATTTGCAGGAAAACAACATTAGACACATTTACTGCAAAATGACTAATGAGAACAATGCATTTGGTAAATTACTTGGTAAGTAACACCACGGTTGTGCACAATGCCGAATTTGTGCAAATCTCTGATGTTTTTTAAGGAAAAACAGATCACTGTGTACATGGGTAAAAGAACACAAAAATAAATCACAGAAGAATTTCATGAAAAATGTTAAGTGGTTCATTTTTTATATCATATAATCATTATTTAATAATTAAAATTTGCATTTTAAATTGCCAAAATGTGTTTTTCCACTGATATGTTGATTATGTTTGCAATCTTGCGATAAATACCTATAATTTAGAATCTTTTTTTTTTTTATAAAGAAATCGCAAAATTGCCAACTTGCACCAGAGAAATAACATTTACTTTTCATCAGTAAAAAAATACCAAATTACACTAAGGTGGTTGTGCTTAAGCCACCTAATTTGTGGCCATATATATCATATTTGTAAAGGTAATTTGAAAATTTTCTTGCATGCATTCTGTAGATTTTGTAAAACTAAATTGGTCAACATTTAAATTATGAATCTTGATATCACCTGGCATGCCTTAGCAATAATTCTTATTGCCAAGTTAGCAATGTCCAGCAAATTTTTGGATATTTTCAGAAAGAAGCCCTATGAGTGATTTTCCCTGAAGCTTTCAGAAGGTCAACCACCATTACAAAAAATGACTGTTCTGATCCATGGGAGCCAGGTACTAGAGTTTCATTCAAGAAGTTAGGTGAATGAATCTTGAACTCAGAGTTCAAGAATTTACTCAAAGAATATATATATATATATATAATAAAGACATAAAGTAAGAAAATTTTCACAAGGACCAAAAATTGAAACTCATAAGTAATAAATTTCAAATAATCCTATAAATGTAATAAAGAATTTAAAAAATGTTAAAACCAGAACTCTTCAAACAAGCAATACCCCAATTCAAAAGATCAATGAAGTTTAAAGAAAAACGAACATAATAGAAGAGGTATTCAATCAACTTCACTGCCACTGCATCAGTAGGAGGAACACTAAAATCAATTGAAATCTTCTTCCACAAAAATTCTTGCATTTCTGTATCCAGAATTAGCCAATAAACCATTTCAATGTATTTTAATTATATTAGTTCACTCGAAAATTCTGGTCTCTTCCCAAAGCAAGGAAAAAGCAAAGTAAATTAGAATTAGAATCTTGTACCTTAAAGAGAATTCCATTTAAAGATTTGAAAACGTAAGTGAAATAATAAAATACTTCAGTGATAAATTCAAATCAGAATTTTACCTTTAAACAAATAGCACATAATCCAAAGAATTTAAAACTTCAGTGAAATTATACAACTTTAGTGAAAAGACTTAATTATAGCTCACAATGAGAAATTAAAAATTTCAAGCACAATCATTTAGAACACAATCAAAACTATGAATAAGATCGTTTAGTGACATTTAAGTTTGCCATTTTGGCTTCATTAGCGAAACTAAAATATCTTGGCGAGAAAATAATCGCTCAAAAGACTAAAAATTGGAACAATAGATAGAATTTTAAGAAAAACTTTTCAATACTTCTATTAAAATTTTAATTTTGAAAAAGAGAAAGATTACTTTACTAATTAAAATAAAATTCAAGTAAATTCTGACTCTTTTAAAACAAAAATGGGAATAGAGAATATCATTCAGTGTAAAATTTTAAGTTTTAAAATGAATTATTCTTTACAAAAGTAGACTCAAAAAGGGTGCCCAAAAAGTGGTCAAAACTCAAAGTTCTAGTTCACTTAGAATTTACTTTAACCGATTTCGGTAATCTGAAATATTTTTCTTGGGTTGAAGAAAGTTTGCCTTTATTTCTGCAGTCTTTTGGAGCTATTTATAGCTGTTTATTTTGCTGCATGCTGTTATTTAATGTAATAAACTGTCAATTTGTTACTACTTGTCTCGTTCAGTAAACTGAAGAGATTTCATAAACCTGTAGCTCACAATATTATTTTCCAGAAGATATCCTTTAATTTTCACTAAATGCTTCATCTATTATACTAAAAGAACATAAATAATTAACTTTTTGGGGTTGATATTGGGCTTACTTTTTACCACTCTAACATTTATTATAATATATCATTATCTCACCCAGTAATTTCTTCAGTAACTGTGTGTTCAACTTGTAACCTTGCATTTACTTCAATAAAATAATAATCTCCTTTTTCATCAACAAGGAATTCTACTGTTCCAGCATTCTGGTAACCAACAGACTTGGCTAGCCTAACAGCATCAGCTGTCATTTTACTACGGATCTATAAAAAATAAATCAACATTAGTTTAAAAAATAAAAGTTTGTAAAATTAATATAAAACATACTTAATCCTTATAAAATCTATTTTTACCATGTATTAATGAAAAAAAAAATCTAAAAGAAAAAATTTATAATGCAATTAGAATCATTATTTTTTAAAAAAATATATTTAATAGATATATTTAGTGATAACACAAGATTTTAAATACTGGAGCTGTTAGTAATTTTTAAAAATGAATATTATAATTAATAATTTAAATTATAAATAAAAATACTCATTTCTTAATTAAATATTTATCTCTATGGCCCTTTCTCTGGACTATATTTCTTAGGACTCTTATTGATTTCCAAGATAAAAAAGCACTTCTTACGGTTAACAGATTATTTTGTTTCCTCCTCTTCCACTGCATTTTATAACTTAAAAGACCAGGAGACTTTAAAGAAATACAAATAAAAGGTATAAAGTACACTTATGCTATAGTGACATTACAATTACTGATATCACCATGGAAAAAAATTACCACCATTCCAAATAATTATTACTGTAGTGCTAAATGAAAAACAACCCTACTTAACACCCTAAAGAAGCAACATAACTATTCCAGTTAATAATTATTTCCCATATTTAACTACCCTTTATACCATTTAATGGATGAGTCCTTATATTAAAAAGTAAATAAACTGGATTGGTGTTAGAAAAGGTAGCACAGAACCAATTTCCAGCATTCTTTCCAACATAACAATCAATTTTTGCAATTCTCTCTGCAATTTTTAATGTTGCATCTCCAAATGCATTGCATGCATAATTACTTGTATTTCCCGTTTTTATACAAAGTAAAACATACCATTAGATTTTACTTACTTATATATATAAAGGGTGAACCCTTTTTAAAAATTTTTGTAGCTCATCACTGGGTACAGTGTTTTAATTTTAGAATTACACGGTGAAAGTCCCATAAGCATATGCTTCTGCATTAATGCAGGCAGTCCTTGAAGTATGATTTTTCCTTTCTTTTGGGAGACAGCAAAAACACAAAATAATAATTCTGGACAAGGAAACTGATCCCATTAGCTTTAGTTTCCTAATGAATGTTTTCCTCCATAATAATATTTTAATTCCTAATGACTCTTTCTTTAATGACATTTTTGACAAGAAAGATTTATAAAAAGTCAGGTGTACAGGAAGTATTTATTCTTGCTAGATTTTTGTCACTATTTATGTTTGATTAAATGATGCATCATTTATGTAATTTAAATAAAACGATGTAAAATTTAGCAAATTTCATAAGAAGTACAATTTAAAAAATGAAGTTTGAAGACTTCCACTTAAAGTCTATTTTAATGATGTAATAACTGCATATGTCGCACATACTACTGAAAGTAAATATGAAAATTATAAACATTTGACTGGCAGAAACTATACTTTCTTTAACCTGAAAACATTGAAGTTTTATTGTGGCTTTTTACAACATTTATGAATTTTTTAGAGTTAAACTAATGCCGCTGTAAACAGAAGCATATTAATTAAATCTATTAGTGCAGTAAACTAATAACAAACTAATGATAGGGAGAAATAATAAAAGATGTGCAATTAGATTATTTTTACAACTTCATGTGAATTTTTCAATTAAAATTCTGAAGCATGAAGAACTTAATTATTTAAGTACAGAGAAAATAAGCTCTAGTAATCATATTAATATATGCACAATTCCTCAATTTCTAAGTAGTTCCTTAAAACATTTAGTGACAAGAAAAATTAAAATATTTCATTTTTCTTGTCACTAAATTTCTTGTAATCAAATGAAATGTAATTCTTGCATAATACACAATAGTTATTTATATGCAAGAATGTGATCTGACATTAAATTGATTACTTACATGCAACAAGATGCATAAATTTATGTGTAGTATAATAATTATAACACCATATAAATTAAATTTATTAAATTAACATCCATGCTTACAGAGGGACTAAAGTTCTGAGCTGGAGCAATTTCAACTACTTTCTGATGTCTCCTTTGAACTGAACAATCCCTTTCAAATAAATGAACTACATTGCCATAATTATCACCTAAATAAAAATATTATCATGTTAGATTACATTTACATAAGTTTCAATTAACATGGATTTAATGCAATAACAAATTAACACTAGATTAAGCTATTTTATAGGCTATAATAGGCTTTTATAGGCAATGCTATAATAATTATAAAAATATTAAATATTAAAAGCTTATTTACGTTATAACAGCTTAAAGAAAGATAGCATAGATGGTTTCCTGATAAATGTCCACTGGACAAAGGCACATGTGGCAAAAGCCCACTTAAGAAAAAAAAAAAAAAAAGCATCACTGTGATAATTGCCCACACAACAAATACCCATATATATGAAAGTGCACATGGATAGAGATAAAAGCCCACACTGATATAAACCCACACTGATAAAAACCCACATAAATACAGGTTACATGATTTTTATCAATATAGAATGCATGATTGTAATTATAATAAATGGAGTATTTGAATCTAATTTTCGGTATTTAAAAAATTGTGTGTTTATAATTTGTATCATTACTTTGTTTTATTATGCCAAAAAACAGACTTTCCTGATTAAGTGACTAGCTGCAACGTTTCAGTGATAAAACTGAAAAAGTCACTTACTTTACTTATTTGTTTACTTTGTCTGCACCTGTGTGTATAAATAAAAATGTAAAATATCACTATGAAGTTCATCGAAACCTAATTTTAACATTATATGCTAAGACTAATTATATACATATGTTTTAATATTAAAAGAAATGTTATTTTATCAAAGAACAAAATAAATCCTTTTTATAATTATAATGGCATACTTCCTAAGTCTCTTTTAGTTCTTGACCTAAAATGCAAAGCAATATCTTTGAGCACCAATGCTCATTAAAAAAAAGCATTTTTTTTTCTTAATTGTTCTTACTTTAAATCAGATTAAATATCTTTAACAAGAAATGCGTGAAAAAATCATTAATCTTCATTTAAAAAATTTTTTATTGTTTTAAAGAGAGATTTTTTTTTCTTTCTTTTTAGTCTAAAGGGGCAATTTTCCCAGAAGGGCTATTAATTTTGTTTTGGCATTTTGCATTGGTTTACTATAAATGGAGTTTCACTTTTCAAATCGTTGCCACCAAATATGAGAGCCCTTCATTACATTTAAAGAAATTTAATAATGAAGAATCTGCATGAATGTATATATGCTTCTCACACTGTGAAAAAAACAACAGTACCTAAAGACATCAAATTTTGAATAACATAGTCCTACACTTGAATAATAGGAATCTGGAAGCCCAAATTTGGATTATAGAATTTGTTTTATTATTATTTCTTATTACATAAAACTTTAATTATTAAATTTTATATATTAAATTTTTTTAATATAAATTTTTTATAACAAATTTTTTTTAAATATTAAATTTTTTATTAACAAAATCAACGATTTCAAAGCGAGCAATGAACTATGAAAAAACACTACGTACTACTAACTATTACATACTACTTTGAGCACTACGAAAAACACATTTTTATCTCCAGTGCGCAAGACTGTGTATTGGAAATACTAAAGATATGCTCTTTTTAAATTATTTTCTGATATTGCTGTTGAATTGAATTTTATGGTTTAAGTTACAAGAACATGATATTTAATAAATAAAGGTAACACACAAAACATTAAAAAAAAAGGCCATTTTGGACATAATATAAAATCTGAAAGCTTTCAGTTTTTTCAGTGTGACTTTGTAGAGACAGGCTACGTAAGCTTGTAAGAAAGTGTATATTTGCCAGCAGATCCCAAAATGCTTCGCCTTGACAACATTTTTGAATTACTATGCTGAGCGAGTTAACATTTCTTTTAATATTACTAATGGATTTTCAAAATTCAAATTCAAATTGTATTTGAAGTAGCCGGACGCACACCAATTAATATAATTTTACTCTTACAATATTATTTTCTTTACATTTTTCTTGTTATGCAAATTAAGAATATAATTTGCTTAAATAATTGTTAAATATAGCACTTACTGTATAAATTATTCATGACATTTAAATGTTATATATATACACTGGTGTTCAAAAATTAAGGACGAAGTCCAAAAATTAGCATATCAGCTGAACGAAGAGGCAGAGCGGACAGAAAGACCAATCAGGAGATTAAGTAAGGTGATGTACGGTAGCACATGCGCAGATATGCAAGTAGACGTAATGGGGGAGTGTCTGAGTAGTTGTCGGTGTAAGATCAGTATTTCTGGCAAAGAGATTGCATGCCGTATAGCAGTTAAAATCACACCAAGTTGCTGCCTCAGCGAGAAATGGCGAATAATCAATCTGTTAGACGACATCTGGATGCTTTTACCCAAGGTCGAATCATTGGGAAGTCGGAGGAAGGCCGCAGTGTGACAAGTGTGGCTGCAGAGTTCGGAATTGCTCACAGCATCGTTTCATGACTTTGGAGACAATTTCAAACTACAGGAACAGCTATCCGGGGGGTTAGTAGTGGTCGTCCATGAGGAACCACACCCGCAGATGACCGGTATATTGCCTTACAGGCCAGAAGAAACAGGTGGCAGACAGCGGGAGAAATCGTTAGACACATGACACAGGTGACTGGACGACCCGATATCACGTTTTACCGTGGCCAGAAGACTGCACGGTGGTGGTCTGTTTGCACGACGCCCTGTACGGTGTGTACCTCTAACGCCTGCCCATCGGAGAAGGCGTTCTCTGTGGTGGCGGGAACATCGGAATTGGAGAGACAATGAATGGGGACGAGTATTCTTTACAGATGAGAGCAGATTATGTCTGAGTAGCGATTCTCATCGCATACTCATCTGGAGAGAGCGGGGAAGCCGCAATCATCCCTCGAACATCATTGAAAGGACAGGTATGGAGGTGGCTGTGTTCTCGTTTGGGGAGGCATCATGCTTGGTAGTCGAACAGACTTTCACATCTTCAACGCAGGTTCAGTCAACGGGACCCGTTATTGTAACGAGATTCTTCTTCCATACGTGCGTCTTTTTAGAGGCGCTATGGGTCCACAGTTCCTTTTCATGGACGACAATGCACCATGTCATCGCACAGTAGCTGCTGAACAGCTCTTAGAGAGTGAGGATATTGAACGTATGGATTGGCCGGCACGATCTCCGGATCTCAATCCCATCGAGCATGTATGGGATTTTCTAGGCAGAAGCTTGGCAGCTCGTACTTTACCACCAGTAACGATTCCGGAGCTTCGATTGGCGCTGCAAGATGAATGGGCAGCAATGCCTCAACAACTCATTGACACCCTCATTCTCAGCATGGGCAGATGCTGTGAAACCTGCCTAGCAGTCAGGGGAGATCATATCCCCTATTAAAGAATGGATGTTTCTTGCTGGACACCCATCACAGGGATGTTTCGGCCTTCAGTCGCATTGAGCTCCATGCTACTTTTTCAATAAAGCTCTTTTTATCCCTCTGATTTCTCTTTTAGTAAGTGTTGCTTACATTTACTCATGTCCTTACGTATTGGAGATCTTACGGTATTAAATGTGTTGATTTGGAAAGCTTTTGTACAAAGTTATATTGAAAAAACCGTCTCGTCCTTAATTTTTGCCCACCAGTGCATATGTCAGAATATGTATTGTTATATGTAGTAGTAAATGTGCAAATAAAATAATAGCAATATAAACATATAAACTTAATTACCATAGTTAAACTTAATTTACCATTCCACTGAAAAACAATGAAACTCAAAAGATATAATGACAGAGTGAATTAAATGAGGCTATAAGCATGAATTCTAAAATGTTCAATGCTAAAATATATACCGTCATTTTCACATATTTTTTTTTTATATTAACAGGAGCTTGTAAAGTAAGGTATATTTCAAATCTGGTCTTTTTAGATGGCATTGCCATTGCAACAGTACATTCAAAATAAACGTTTTTGAATCTAGCCAGAAATACAACACATATTTCTTATTTATGTCTTAATATATATATTTCCAAAAAGCATGCATGCAATTTGAAGTTCCATATAGCAGAAGAGTAAAAAAAAAAGTGTGACAAATTAAATGAGCTGTACATTCAATCAGTATTAAGAATTGTTTAATTTTAGACTGAGTTAACTTGAAGAAAAAATATAGAATTTCATATTTGTATGTAAACATATTCTGCTATGAATTATGTTCTGCTACCTATATAAAAAGGGAAGTTTAAAAATTGCACAACTAGCATGTACTGAATACTATAAACTTTTATTTCCCTTTTTAATTAATTTTTATTTATCTAATTAATTAATTAATTCTGATATTTGAATTTTTTACTCAAATCACATGCTCGGATTTATTTTGAAAGGAAGAATGTCTGGAAATTTTCTATAAATGAAAATAGAACATAATATACATATATATTCTACCAGACATTGGAAATGCAACACCAAGAAGGAGTGGTGCAAAAAATATACACATTTCAGGGCAGACGCACATACCAAGTTATGTGAAATGCGCAGCTCTCCAGCACACATTGAAGAAGATATAAGGGAAGGAGCCAGCAGGATATTCGATTTTCGTGCCATTATTTTGGCTAAGGAAATCATCGTAGAAAATTTGTTCTTGTCTCAGAAAGACAAGTGTAATAGCCAAGCCATCGTCAACTGAGGCAGTTCCAGCAGACAAACGATTTTACAAGGGGCATGGTGATCGGAATGAGAAAGGCAGGTTGGTGCATAAGGCAAATCTCAGTTGACACACACCTGGATGAATCCACAGTGCACTGGATATGGCGGTGGTGGTTGAGGCAAGGAAATGTGGCAAGTTTTTTAGGGTTGCTGCGGCACGCAATGAATTGGAAGTTGATCTGTCAGCACTATCCTTATCTTCAGGGCAGATGTTTTTTATTTTATTTGGCTTATAATTCCTTACTAAATGTAGTATTTCATCTCGATGTACTCCGTCTTTGATATGATTTAAATCAAATTCCTTGTCATTATAATTCGCTTCCGTTATTGTAATGAGACCGGTATGTCTATAAACAAGAAATATAAACGAGAAAGTGACACGGAGGT